CACGTCCTGCATGACGCCGTTGCACGAGAATCCCCTACCTATAGGCTCTCGAGCCATGGCACACTTGAGGGACCTCCGGCCTATCAAGTACGTGCCTGTCTGCATGTATCGCGTATGACTTGAACCATCTTTGCGAATCGGATCACTTCTTCTTCAACGACCTTGAGCGACGCGGTACCTATGCTTGATTAAATACAGCGATGGTATCCGAGCTCTTCCTCTCGACGGTAACCACAAGCCAAGCCGGAGATATCTCCCTTCCATCCATGGCATCCTTTCTTGCGCAGCTTTGGCAAGCCAGCCAGGGCCCTTTCACACTCGCCTTCTAGCACAGATAGGTAGGACTGCTCAACCGTCTGGCCACTCGCTTCTTCCCGTCGTCAACGGAATTGACGAATCGTCTCCGAGCTGCTTATAAGCGATCTGATAAAAAAATGAGAGCGGTGACCAAGCGGCCTCTGAACGGCGTTGGATTACGGTATTCGATAGGAATCAGCCAATTCCTCTCCGGACTATCAACGGTCTAACCTTACTGGACTACGTCTAGCACCCTACACTAAACAGCGTAGCAGCTATACACGTTGAGTACTCCTCCAGAGGCAACTGATATGAGTTCACGAATCCACAGCTCGCTAGTTAGTGGGGGTGGGATTGACAAGCCGCGTTTCCTCCCAAGACATTGTCTCATTCAGCATTCTAGATCTGCGTCGTTGTACTCCGCACGCATACATGACAGTATCTGTATATGACAGCATGCGGCTAGAAACCAGTTGGACTGAACGGACTGATGCACACAGTGTATCGATTTACCTAACGCTGATCGTTGACCCCTCATTTCCTTTCTACCATCCCAGCTGCAGTCGGCCATGTCTGGTGATGGTGTGGCACTTGTTGGCATTTCTTCGAACAAGCCACCCAAGAAGTCTCGAACGCTTTGGCCTCGCGGGCTTTCTCCGAACCAAACAGCCGGGGTGGGAAAGCCATGCCCCGACTAGGATCAAGGACCAACCTGGTGGTAAGCAATTCTACTGATCCCTAGTGTAGGCTATACCTACTTAGGTAGACAGACAAGTCTCGTCGAAAGTCACGAAGCAAGGCTGTCAAAAACACTCATAACTTGGATTCCTAAGCCCAGAGCTTTTGATCACCGTCCTCGAATGAACCACCTGGCTTTGTAGGGTTGCAAAGCATACATGAATTCCGTGGATAGACGAAGTGCCCAGGAGTGAACCGAAGACAAATCTGCGCAGCAAAATTAGGACCACTATATAGCCAAGATGTGTGGATAAGTGATTTCTTTAATACAACAATGTCAAAACTGACCAGGGTTTCTACTCGGTACACAGCTACAACGACCTGAAAATTTGTCCTTGACCACTTTGACTTGATTAGCGAGCGATCTTTATTGCGCTTTTGGCAAACCTACCTACCATCCTTCGGATGCTTCCCCGACCCTTTCTTTCACTTACATAACACCGGTTATGTCGCTCGGGGCAGCACAAAGAGGTCAGTCAAGCACACCGTACGTTTTCCATCTAAGCATGGGACCTCTAGAATTGCACAGACGTTACACTGGCTACGCCATAGGGAGGGAGAGGGGCTTGAATGGGTGCTACCAAATATGCCACACTGAATCAATGGATGCCACAAGCTATGACGGTCAGTCACCGAGGAAAAGGCTGGGTTCGCAACGACAACTCGGTTTTCTGTTAGGAAAAGACCACAACCTAGAGGTGTTCAAGACGCCACTAGGGATTAGAGATGGCCTCCAATCACTGGAGATGCTGTCTCTTTGCTACTAATTGGCCCTGCCTCTACTATCACGAAGACGGAACCATTGAGGGATCGTCGCCAATTAGGATCTCGCAACATCATTATTGACTGCCGGCTAGTTGAGACCCTTTGATGATGGAATGATATCCGAAGGTCTACATATGTAAGAAAAGCACCTAATCGAGAAACCGTAAAGAGACTCCTTCTTCTCCCCCGGACAATATTGCCTGATCGATAGTAACTGGTTATATTTAACTTGAATAAAGACCCACGTTGGCAGATCGACCCGAAGTATGCGACCTACAAGAAACGGGTTTCACCCTGACACTTCTTCCGTCACTCCCCCGCATTCCATGAAGAAAGCCCCTTCCCGAAGGAGAGTCCAGTCTGATGGGCTCGCTGGGGAGGATGATCACTGACATAAGTGAATGGGCACGTGATGACCTTGTCCGTTGTTTATCTGTTTGTCTGGAGTTCTAACTGAACCAAACAACATGGAGGAGGAACTGGCGATTGGTCTCAAGACGAGATATCCGGATTGAGATATGGCACTTATATACATCCACTAGGGAAGAAATATCTCTAGGACACTCGAACTCAACCATTTACTCATGACAAGTAGAAAAAGAGAATTGTCTCCGGCAATACCAGCGGGAACTAGCCATTCTCTCTGCTCAATTCTTGACAGATGGGGAACTTGACCAATGTGATCAAATGGATGGCGTTGTAACAATTGCCCCTTCAATAACAAGGTTTGCTTCATCGAGAGATTGACCTATCATCCAGCTTTTCTAACAATATTTGACAGCTACCAACTTATCTTATGCGAGCGATGCCGATATGCTTCTCGACTGGCCGAGACTAACTCACCCAGACATGCTCCTTTGAGAAACTAGATGTCATGACTTTGCCAAAACTATTAACGTGATCAGAACCGAAGAGTTTCGGATGTCAGCCATACTATCCTCCAGGTCTGGATGAAGTGACTCGTTCTTTGAAGCATACTCCAACGGGGAAAAGCGGTGGTTACAACCTTCGGTTGGGAATTGGGATTGACTGAAGCAGGGGAAGGTGAGATCAAGTCGTGTCTTCCAACAAAGTTTCATAGTGAAGGGTCGTGGCTTCCTGCCAAAATTGCAATCATAAATGCAGTGCCGCAGAGTTTTCTCAAAAGGGGACACAGATGGCAGTCGCTACCTGTCAACAAAATCCCGAACTTTTCCTCGATCATTGGGCGCATCATACTCATCTTCCTGTTGCGTATTCCAATGATCGCTCGTTTCTCATCCCTACCAGCTCAGTTATCAACATTCATGTCAACTTCATGATGCGTTCCCGAAAACAAATCCAGGTAGGAGCAAGACTCGAGACCTTTCTGCAATGCGGCAATCAACTGACACCCAGCAACAAGCATGTAGAAGAGGAAATGGAAAGCCAGAGTCGAACTGGAATCAAAATATTCCAGATTGAAGCGCGCCGAATATCCTGTGGTTCGTCCCGTTCCGTCGTTGCACTTTGCACCGGTCCCAGCCGGCATCAATTCTCGCCTCAACTCCCGTCGCTCCAAAGCCGCCAATACCACCTCAATGCCGGCATCTACGCCCTGAGAATTTGTACATTGCGCTTGTTTTCCATGGAAACTTCGATGATGAGAACAGGCCCACCCCAGAGGTGATTACCAGATATTGAGGTTCAAGCAAACTCGACAAGAGGAGAAAGCCGCAAACCCAAGTGGGATGGATCATTGATCTTAAGAGTCTGGGGGGACAGGGGCAGGGGTCCTGTCCAACAGCCACCAATGCCAACGGTCCAGGCCACTTACGCCGATGTTTGTTGGTGATGATGGGCCATTCAGGGGCATTAACACAGTGGAGGCTTGCCAAGCACGCCATGTCAAGTCGACATGTTTGACGATCAGGGCAAACCGGAGAAGTTAGCCGGTAGCGTTCACTAATCACTTCATCACTCAAAAATATCATCAGAGGACGACCGGGCTGAAGTCTCACAAGCTACAGTGGGCAGCTGGCTGTCGTATTAAAAGTATACAGCTCAAGCGACCATAGCCAAACAAAAAGCTTCATGTTTGCAGTCACTTGCCGGCCGGATCCTTAGGATATTTTGAAAACTTTATCGGCCAAACCGGAGTGTTGGCAGGATCTACACACGTCCTATCCACCACACAGATTACACACTGTTAACCTGCGTCTCGGTTCAGCATCATCTCTTTTAATCTTATTATCGTTATCGGGAAACCCCGTTGCTTGGTGTTTGGTTACCCTTCGGTTGCTCTCGACCCCAAATACGGAATAGTGTCGTGGCATAAGCTGTCGGCCTTACGCGCTTGCTGATATGTGTGATACCACAGCCTAACTCGAAATGTCAAGTCAATAATGGTAAGATACTCGGCCCCCATGTCCCATTCTCAAGCGCGAACGGCGACAATGGAACTTTCCTGACCTGAAGTCGTTGCAGAGAACTTCATCCTCCTCATCTTCTCTCATCTGTGTTCGAATCAGACGTTCTTTGCTCAACGGCCACTACACTAAACAAGCGTCACCGGGACGCCGCTTTACCCTTGCCCACATCGTCCGAGTAACCCGCCATCACTTCTGGGACCACTTACACCCTCCATTTCTCAACGGCACAGCGATCCAATCCACGAAGCCTTGAGTCGGGAACTCTCTTAGCATCTACGACGCATCTTGTTCTTTGTATTTCCAAATTTCGAAGATAACAAGGCAGCGAGGCCAAAGGGAGTCTGAAAACGACGTCTCGAACGAGCCGTCACAACTGTAACCTTTTCCTCGCTCGTGTCCCGACTTACTGGATTTGTCAACCTCGCGCTTATTCAAGGTCCGTCGAGGCGTTGCTGCTTCTTAGGTGAGATCATCCGCATGATTCTTCTCCATACCATGCGCCAAACACCTCCATGCCGCCTTTGCCGCTTAGTGTTCCGTCTTTCAGAATAGCGTACATACAAAGGATCCGCTTTCCTCAGACTTTAACGACTGTCTCACACAATGCAATGGGCAGTCATTATCTTGAAGAACTCAACCTTATCTCCTAGAAAGCAATTGTCCAGATCTGCATGGGAATCTGGCGGGTTTGTCCAGGATATCTGCTGATTTTGGTTCGACGATAGCCGCGTACCCCGCCAACCGCATCAGGTTGTTCAACATCAAACACCATCCAGTTCGGACATATCGCCATATCTTCATCCTGTCACCATGACTTCTTCACGACCTCTCCAGCCACTTGCAAGTTATGCTGAGGATCCTCACTCTGGTCCGGACAACAATCCGTTATCCACCCTGAATCTTACAATTCTGAAAAGTCTCTCAGACAAGAAAACGAGAGGTGGGTAACAATCTATGGATATGGTCGCTGTTAGTGGATACACAGACCAAACTGATTGTTTCGGATGCGTAGATGGTCAACCACCGAAGAAACGAGGCCCCAAGCCGGACAGCAAGCCAGCACTTACACGACGTCAAGAGCTAAACAGACAGGCACAACGGTATGCTTCTCCTAACATCCTTCAACGCCCGGATACATGCTAACCTGGCATGAAGAACACATCGCGAACGAAAAGAGCTATACATCAAAGCTCTCGAAGATGAGGTCCTGCGGCTCAAAGAAATCTTCAGCAACATTGCACAAGATAAGGAGCGTCTCGCCGAAGAGAACCGGCGGCTAAAGGCTAAGCTAGCTCAGAACGACGCAGCCGGTGATCCGATTGCCGCCGACACAAACTTCTTTGACCAAATGGTTAGCAGTCCAAGCGGTCCTAGTCTTGGATACACTTCCAGCCCTAGCATGGTGGGAAGTGGAAGCTACCTACCAGGGGCACCGTCCAGCCAAACGACTTTCCCATCACCACCACCGTCAACGACGGCGACTTCGCCGGTTTACCGCCCACCCCCCGGAGGACCGAGGGACTTCAACACCATCTTGGGAGATGGTGGAGGTGTTCTGGCACCAAAGAGGAATCCAGATTTGGATTATGATCAAGCGGGTATTGATTTTGTGTTAACGTACGAGTTCCCACCTCCTTCGAATCCCCCGCAGTAAGAACAAACGGACATTCGTGTTGCGCTCTTCAATGTTGGGGATTTTGAAACACATTCCCATACCTACACGGAAGAAAGGGAAGGGAGAAAGCAACTAACAAGCGCCCCTCGGCTCTACCCATTTTTTTAGTCTCGAACGCCCATGCATGGAACACATGACATGGCTGTTGGAACGAGGTGCCGGCACCGAAGACAGGGCGCAACGAGAGCCTTGCGGCCATGCGCTCATGGCATCCTGCCCTCCCGAGCCCTTCTCCAAACTCTCGCCAGAAAGCCCTTTCGGGTATACCAACACCATCCCGAACTTGGCCATCGGTGGGGATATCGCGGCGACCTCCAACATCACCGGGCAGCACGTCCACGCCCACGTCCACGGTCATCCCCCGATGCCTACTAGCATCAGCGGTAGTGGTCAGCGTACCTGGGAACTCAGCAAAGCCGACTTGGCTACGTTGCTCGACCTCAGCAAGCGGCTGGACCTCGACGGGGAGATCACGCCTGTCATGGCTTGGGGCATGGTCCTCGCTCATCCGCGGCTTGCGGAGTTGCAGCTCGAGGACTTTGCGCGGTTAACCGAGGAGTTGGGGCGGAAAGTTCGGTGTTACGGGTAAGTTGTTACATCCCCTCTATGATCAAAAGTCTCTTCATTTGATTATGTCGAGGTTGAGGGATGGGTTTGCTAATCCCTTCTGTTTGGGTGTTGTTATAGGTTTGGTGCTGTAATGGAGGAGTTTGAGGTTAGGGATGCGCTAGAGAACGTGTTTTCGACGAAGCCGGAGGGAGGAGTGTTTGAGGATTTTTGAGAGACCAGTAGACCGAGTCAACTTTCTGATGTTGGGTGTAAGGGAGAAAAAGATGGCGTTTGGATGTTAGATAGCTGAGTGCATGGACTAGCTGGTCAGAAGACTGACGAGATGCCTTGGTAGGAACCTTTGCATCAACTTGTTGTGTACAACCTGAAGACCAATCATCATTTAACCGGACGAATCTTTTTTCCACATTGTGACATGATAGTATTCAAGGCGTTAGGAAAGAAAAAGAACGTGAGAATAATACTAGCAATACCTGACAAGGTTCAACAAGAGATGTCAAAGAAGGATGTACCGGAAATGGTGACAACAGGAAGCTGCAGCTTTCTGGGATGAGCACGGTGAACGTGGTCACCTTGAATGCGCAGGGTTGATTGGCTACTTACTTCCTTCCCGGTGAACCCATGTCTGTCACGGTGAGAAGCTACCGGGAGCCCCACAGCACACAATAACCCCACCCTGCGAATTTCTGAGTTTTGGGGCAATTTGCTGCACGGCCGCGGACAGCAGATTTCCACAGCGACACAGCCCCGGCGAATTCGAAGCAACCCCTCCGAGTCCTGGGTCCTCTTTTTATTTTATCTTTCCAACTTACGCCAGGTCCCGACTATCGATATTATTCCGATATCGTTTCGTCACCCACACACGACAGCAACCATGACGAACCCTACTCCTGGCCTTTCGGCCCTCGTCGACCTCATCGACTCCCTCCCCGACCTGGGTGCCACCTGGGGCCCCGCCGTCACCACCGAGACCACTCTGAATGGCGTCCCCTACGCCCCCTACTCCAAGGGCGATAAGCTCGGTCGCATGGCCGACTGGACTGCCGACTCCAAGGACGGCCGTGACGGTCGCGGTGGTCGCCAGCAGTACAACAGGAACTTCCGTGGTAGGTTATTCTACCCTGGCCTCTGGCCTCTCCATGACCCATCTCGAGGTACGGATGGGAGTGGTGATGTTTGCTAACTTCCTTCGACTCTAGACCAGCAGATTTACGGTGCCGGTTCCACCTCCATCTTCGCTCCCCCCGTCGCCGAGGACGAGTCTTCCTTCTCCGTTGTCTCTAACGTCAGGGATACTGGCAAGACCCGCTTCGGTCGTGGTGCTGTCTTCACTAGAGGCCGTGGCCAACGCGGTGGTGCTGGTGCCCAGGCTGGCAGGGGTGGTGGCCGTCAGACCTTCCAGAGGACAGGTCGCGGTGGTCAGCAGTACGGCGGTGGCTTTGACGGTGGCCGTGGTGGCCGCGGTAACACCGGTGCGCGCGGTCGTCGCTTCGGCTGGAAGGATTATGACAAGCCCCAGCGCAACCGTGATGCTTCGATCAACATCAAGGGTGACTGGAAGCTGATTGAGGAGATCGACTACAACCGTCTTGGCAAGCTCAACCTCGAGACCGACGAGGGTGAGGATGTCGATGACTACGGCTTCCTCTACGCCTACGACCGCTCCTACGACAAGCCCGTCGTCAAGAACGCCGAGCGCAGGCTCACCGCTATCGACCGTGCTGCCTACAATGTCACCGCCTCTTCCGACCCCGTCATCCAGGAGCTCGCCGAGAAGGACGAGGCCACCATCTTCGCCACCGACAGCACCCTCTCCATGCTCATGTGTTCTCCCCGCTCCGTCGCCCCTTGGGATATCGTTATCTCCCGCCAGGGCAACAAGGTCTTCTTTGACAAGCGCGACAACGCCGCTCTCGACCTTGTCACCGTCAACGAGAACGCCGCCGATGCGCCGCTCGAGGCTTCCGAGGGTTCCAAGGATGGCATCAACCAGCCCCACGCCCTTGCCGAGGAGGCTACCTTTATCAACCACAACTTCGCCAACCAGGTTGTCGTCGAGAGCGAGTCCGACAAGGTCAACATGGCCCACGAGAACCCCTTCTACAACGCCTCCGAGGAGAACGTCCCCCCTGCCTCCAAGGCCTACAAGTACCGCCGCTTCGACCTCTCCACCAGCGAGGAGGAGTCCGTCTTCTTGGTTGTCCGTACTGAGATCGACGCTGTTCAGAAGAACGCTACCGACGGCAAGAACCAGCTCGTCACCGTCCACGCTCTCAACGAGTGGGACAGCAAGGCCCAGGGTGCCGGTGGTGCCCTCGACTGGAGGACTAAGCTCGTTTCTCAGCGTGGTGCCGTTGTCGCTACTGAGATGAAGAACAACAGCTGCAAGCTCGCCAGGTGGACTGTCCAGTCCATCCTCGCCAAGGCCGATGTCATGAAGCTTGGGTAAGTGTTTGCATTGATGCTGCTATGTTGGATAATCTGTGTATTAACTAATGATTTTTTCTTTCCCTACAGTTTCGTCTCCCGCGTCAACCCCAAGGTCAACGACAAGCATGTCATTCTCGGCGTTGTTGGCTGGAAGCCCAAGGACTTCGCCAACCAAATGAATCTCTCGCTCTCCAACGGCTGGGGTATTGTCCGCACCATTGCCGACATGTGCCTCAAGTCCGAGTCTGAGGACACCAAGTTCGTCCTCGTCAAGGACCCCAACAAGAACATCCTCCGCCTGTACGAGGTCCCTGCCGGCAGCCTCGACGAGGAGGTTGAGGAGTTGGAGGAGGTCCAGGAGGAGGCTGAGGAGGCTGAGGAATAGAGTACCTCTGCGGATGAAGAAGAAAGGAGCTCACTGATGAGGAGGCACAGAAAGCTGCCTCGTTGATGGAAATGTTGAGGGTGGAGTATGAATATTTTGGGGATCTGAGCAAATGCGATATGCTCTCCCCGGAATCGATGGGAAGCGGAGAATAAAAGCAGTTTTATTTTTCAGTTAAAGAGCGTTATTTTTTTATATTTTTTTGCTACCTGTGTTACAAGGTATACGACTGGTTTTCTTTCACGGGCGTTTATGAACCGAATATGTCACTCATGGCAGGACTTTTATTGGTTTGGCAGTCTTGAATGGAAAGCTTGTCTGCGTTGACGAGACTGACTGGACACAGGGGCATGGGTGTGGCTCGTGTAGCGTGCATAGTTTAGGTAACTATGCGGCGGCTTATGATGGCGGGGGAATACCGGTAGACAAAGGACCCCATAGTCGACAGAGTATGAAAGAATAGCCGATATTGGGTAATGAACAACATTCACACCGATTCAACCCTTTTGATTCTGGTAATTCTTTGTTACGGGACCACTTACACTCACGTGATTTCGCGACGCTTTTTGGTGTTCGTCGCTTTCGTTCCACTTGGGTTTGCCCCTCGCGTTCTTTCCCGCGCCCGTTTGCTGCCCGCTTGCAGATGCATGTCTTCGCCACTGCACCTGAACAGCCACAACCCCGACCAACCTGCTCGTCCCACCTCCTTCCTGATTATCCAGCATCCCAATCGCCAACATCATTCTTTTGCCAATCAGTCATAGCAACGGCGCGCAGTACTAATCACCTCACCTCAACCATCATACTCGCATTAGGAAAACCGCGGCAGTGATTCCACGGGGGAAAGCTGGAACAATGCCGCCCAAAACAGCCTCCGGCAAATTGACCAGCACCTCGTCCAAAACTCCGGTCAAGTCCGCCCGAAACAGGGGGTACGTCACCAAGACGCCAATCTCGTCGAAGCCCAAACCGAAGCCGAATGCGAGTATTTTGAATTACTTCACCAAAAAGGCGGACGAGACGCTTTTCATTGGCGAAGGTGGGGTTGGTCTTGACGGTTTGGAGGATGATGAGGAGGTTGTTGAAGGCAATGGTGATGCGAATAAGGTCCCCGAAAGGGAGACTGTTGGAGAGGAAGAGAAAGCGACAACTAAGGATGCCGTGGTTGAAGAAGTCAAAGAAGTCAAAGAAGAGAAACGGTTTAATGAGGCTGGTGGGCCGATAAAGAAGAGGAGGGTCAGTTCCAGTTCTGATGCTGAGGAGGAACCGAGACCGAGGGGGAAGAAGGTGAAGGCGACGGCGGATGAGGTTGGAGTTAAGAAAGAGGTGGGGAAAGAGAGGAGGGTTGGGCAGAAGAGCGAGGAGGAGAAGACAGAAGAGAAGCACGCGGTGCCACAGAGTAGTGGTGCGCAAAGCACAAATGCGGTTGGAAAGCCGAGGAGGGGTCCGTTCTTGGATGATTCGGACGAGGAGGACGAGGATGAGGTGGAAGCAGGGAAGAAGAGCACATCTCCTACTGCAAAACCTGTGGGTTTAGCTGGGGATGAGAAAAGGAAGAAAGAGGAGGAATCAGCAGACAAGACGAAACCCAAGCCAACAATGGAAGACGTCACGGAGAAGCCCAGAGTTCCTCTTCTACGACAAGAGACATCCGGCGCCAGAGCGGACAACCAAACCAAGCAGGAAGAAGAGCCGACCAAGGATGACGCAGATCACGTCGACCAAGACACACAAAAGGACAAGAAGAATCACGACAACGACCTTCAAGGCGAGGAACTGAGAGAGAAGCGGTACGTGCAGGAGCAAGCCCGGCTTGAGCAGGGGTTTATTGGGGACGATGATTTCGACGAGATGTTGCTGGATGATGCTGGATTTATCGATGAGATTGAGGACGATGATGATCTAACGTTTCCCACGGCGGGCCCGGATGCCATTACAGAAAGCTGCCCGATATGCAACGCAAGTCTCGCCGGCGTAACAAGCGACCAGGCCACCGCTCACGTCAACGCTTGTCTTGATGGCAACCCGACGCCACTTCCTGCTCCCACAGTTCCAACAATAACCGCAAAACAACAAATACCCAAGGCCAAAGACGAAAGCCAGGAGAGCGGATATATGGTGAATGATACGACGATGGCGGATCTCACTGAAGGTAGCAGGCGCTTTGCATCTCGCGCCGCTATTGCCCGCCCAGGACAAGCAAACCCAATTTCCCTCCCTGGCGACGATGACGATCCATCTTATGGCCCCGATGCTAAACCCAAGACCAATGGCGGCGGCAGCTCAGCCTTTAGCAAACTAATGTCCTCCCATACCGAAGCCGCTGCCTGGGCCACCGCCGCGGCTGTCGAGACCGCCTCTAGAGGAATGCCTGCCTACAAAAGAACCTGTCCCTTCTACAAGATCATGCCGAACTTCTCCATCTGCGTCGACGCCTTCCGCTACGGCGCCGTCCAAGGCTGCAAGGCCTACTTCCTCAGCCATTTCCACAGCGATCACTACATGGGCCTCTCAGCCAGCTGGGTACACGGGCCCATATACTGCAGCAAAGTGACTGGGTCACTGGTCAAGACGCAGTTGCGGACGGCAGCCAAGTACGTTGTCGAGCTGGAGTTCGGAGAGACAGTGCCGGTGCCTCAGACGGGCGGTGCTGTTATGGTTACCATGATCGAGGCAAATCATTGCCCAGGGAGTTCGCTATTCTTGTTCGAGAAACAGGTTGGCAAGGAGGGAAGAACGCAGAGGATTCTGCATTGTGGTGATTTCAGGGCGTGTCCAGCGCACGTGGAACATCCGCTATTGAAGCCGGAGACGCTCGATAAGGTGACGGGCAAGACGAGACAGCAGAAGATTGACGTTTGTTACCTGGACACGACATACCTAAACCCGCGGTATTCGTTCCCACCCCAGGAGGACGTGATCCATGCGTGTGCGGAGGTGTGCGCAAAGCTAGATAAAGGATTGAAGGACGGGAACGAGGCAGAATGGGAGCGGTTGTTGAGGGTAAGGGAAGGTGGCGGCAATTTAAAGGAGGGAAAAGATGTCAGTCAATTCTTCGGCTACAACAGTAAGAGAAGAAAAGGGGATGGTGGTGGCATCGACGCATCAAACCCCACACCACCCGAGGACAAGGAACACGAAGAAGACACCAAGACTAAACCGCCTTCCAACGCCTTCACCGCCCTCACCTCTTCGTCCTCGTCCTTCCGCAAAAACCGCCTCCTCGTAGTTTGCGGCACCTACTCCATCGGCAAAGAGCGCATCTGCGTCGCCATCGCGCAAGCCCTCGGCTCCAAAATCTTCGCTTCCCCCTCTAAGATCCGCATCACCAAACAGCTCGGCGACGCCGAGCTTTTCGGCCTCATGACCTCGGACCCCCGCGAGGCCCAGGTGCACATGCAAGCCCTCGGCGAGATCCGCGCCGACACGCTGGCCGAGTACCTCGAGCTGCACCGGTCCAACGGGTTCAGCCGCATCGTCGGCTTCAGGCCTTCGGGGTGGAGTTACCGGCCTGGTTCTGGGTCCAACAACAATAACAACAATAACAATAACTCCTCCTCTTCCTATTTACCATTCCCGCCAGATCTCGACGTAGGTGGCGGCGCTTCCGTCCCCGTGACTGCCACCCTCCCTCCTTCTTCGCTACCCACCACGCATTTGTTGCACGGCAACCGGTTCCGGCCCCGCTTTTTTGCGAAGAACGTCATTCCGCAGCGCGGGAGCGGGAAGGAGGCTATGTGCTTTGGGGTTCCCTACAGCGAGCATTCTTCTTTCAGGGAGCTGGCGCTTTTTCTGATGGCATTGAGGGTCGAGAAGGTGGTGCCAACGGTGAATGTGGGGAGCGAGGCGAGTAGGACGAGGATGAAGGGGTGGATTGATCGGTGGGTGGGGGAGAGGAGGAGAGGAGGGTTGGTTCGGGTTTTGCACGAAGATGGTGAGAAGGTGAAAGGGCAGAGGTTTTGGGATTGGGAAGGATGGAGAGGTGGGGGGGTTTATTGGTAGCTGCGTGGTGGTTTTAGGTATGGTTGTTTGTAGATGGTAGCGCCAGTGATCATGACATCTATGTTCTTTTGGGGGTCTATGCGACTGTTTCGTCTGAACTGTTATACATGAATAGCAATGCCCTCACCCGTTGGCTCGTTTAACCTCACCGCGGTCATTCCTCATCCGGTATCCTTCTCAACGCCTGTCATACTCGAGACTCCCCGCTTGCCTTGTCCAGTTTCAAGCTGGTCACCCGTCCTTCTCACTACCCTTCATCCAAAGGCTGCTTTCTGTCATTTTCGTTCTTGGCTCAACTTTGATGAATGATATCAACGGTGAGGGTAATGTGATTATCTTCCCCCTATACGCTCCACGTAATAGCTCTAGAGATTATGCCCCCTCCCTCGTCCTCTTCTCACGCTCAACCCTGCTTAGCCTTGGTAGCCTGGTTTGCCGCCTCTGAAAAAGCCATAAGTCAGTATCAGTTCGTTTCGTCACAACTACCCCCCACCGTTCAACCCAGCATGCAAAGCCCCGTGAAAAAAAAACAAAAAAAACATACCTCTCCTCGTAGCATCCTCCAACAACTGAATGTCCACGCTTTCTTGGGGGAGGTGGACGTAACGGACCACGGAGCCGCGGATGAACACGTTCTTGACGGCGCTCAGGTGCGGGTACTTGAGCTCCTCGACGACCTGGATGTTGTCGAGCTTGATGTTGAGGAACTGGTCGACGCTCTTGAGCACGCCCCGGATCTGGATGTCGTTCTTGAGCTCGACCGTGACCTCGTGGTCGATGAGGGTTTTGAAGAAGCTTTTTTTTGATATGTTAGCGTGGTGTGTATGAGTATTGCGGTGGGATGGATGGGTGGTTTTGAAGGTAGGGAGGGAGGTAGGGAGGTGGGTGAGGGCTCAGAACTGGGAGGGGGTGAGATGAAGAGAAAATGAAGGGGTTGATGAGCTGTTGCTTAACAGTTGATATTGATGAGTGACCATGTCTCAAGTACGGGTGGGTATGGTGTGGACATGAGAAACAACTCCCGATATTGTATCGCGGACCTCGTTTGCTCGCTCGGCTTCAAAGCAGCAAGCATCACAGCTGGCCAACATAGCGAGGATTTGACCCCACTACCTAGGAATGATGGCTATTATGATCAAACTGGAAGGGGTGAGACTGTAAGCTTGAAAAGGACATCATATTACCTGAAAAACAACATGGTGTTGGTATTAGTGTTGATATGTTACCAAATGAGTGACGAAAAAGGGAAGCAAAATGTTATGATATGAATACGTTGGACAACAAAAGGTGACGGACGGGCATCCATCAATCGCTCGAGTTCGTTGTTACTGCAGTGGACTGACTGTACAGGCACGCCAAGGAGACGACTGCCCAACTCGGTGGAGGACTTGGAGAGGTTAGGAGCTGCACTTTGGGCTTTGGAGGTCCAAGCTTCCTTACAGTGGGGGCACGGGCCATTTGTTCTCTAACCGCCAAGAACCAAATGTCCCTATTGGCACTCTGGCAGCTGACAGCCAGCACACGAGGTGGTAGATTGTACAGAGCTGCCCGGCCTCAGAGTGCCAGTGTATAAACCAACCTAAGACAGGGCAAGAAGTGTCCGAGGAGGCAAGTGGCAGTTGTGGCACTTTCCTATGGCAGTAAGACGGTCGACGCGGGAAATGACAGGCGCGACACGGGCATCACTCATCTCAGTCACACAAACTCCCTCCCGTCTGACGGGAATAGCACTGCAGGTCCCAGGGCAAGGGCAACCATAACCCAAGGCTTTCAACGCAGGAGCGCTACAGAGCACAAGTGGGAGTTAAAAAGGTCCCGCCCAGCGCTCTGGCCCAGCCCCACGGCGTCCATCCCCATTCCCCATTCCCTGATTCCCACACTTGTCAAACGGGCAGCCATTCACGGCCGCTGGACACCACTCAAGCATTCTTCATCACTCGCGAGCGACAGGTCGGGGACCGACAGGGATGTGCCATCTGTTATTGTGCCGTCATTGGATTGTGTACAGGCATCGACCAGCATCGACCGCCTTTCAGCGAGCGAGGCAGACCGCGACGAGCATCCCTCTCGAGCAGCAGAGCACGCCGTGGACGCGGCAGCCTTTCCCGGGTGCCTGATAGTCTGATACCCCCTTTTAGAGAGACAGGAAGACAGACACGCCATCGACATCGCCCTCGGTACGGAGGACCCCGAGCAACAGCCAGGCCCCAAACCCACCCCCCGAGTACCTTACCCCCCGAGTCCGGATCCCTCCTCAACGGAACCCCCTAAATTCCAGGTATCAACAGCACACGGGCCGGAAGCCGCGCCAGGATCACCCGTAGTACCTAGGTAAGGTGCGCATCAGCCAGCAGCCAGCAGCCAGCAAAAAAAAAGAGGCCAGGAGCGCGGGGTTACGGGGTGCCGATTACGCAACCAGCAACAATGCCGCCGCCCTCGGGCCAAAAGGGCAGCCAGAAGGGCACGGGGAAGAAGGGTGGAGCGGGTGTCATGCGCCAGCACCAGCACAACCCGCGCAGTCGCAACACCACGCCCAGCGCCGGCTCCCCCCAGGTTGCCAGCCTGCCCCCCATTGAGCAGCACGAGACAGCCACCTTGGACGTGCGCTTCGACCTCTTCCGCAACATCACGTACGACGACATTGTCGACCACGTCGCCAACAACGCCGCATCGCCCGACTCCAAGAGCCTCGATGGCCTCCTGTCCCGCCTCTCACGTCTTAGCGAGGTTATCGACAAGCGGGGGACCAGCTGTGACAAAGGCATGCGTCTGCTCGCCCAGTCCCGCCGCCTCCGCGAGAGCGAGCTGGCCGCCGAGCGCGGCCGCGAGGAGGAACGCCGCCAAAAGGAAGCCGACGATGAGGAGCGTGCCGAGCGCAAAGCCAACAAGAAGAAGCGGAAGGCCACCGAGAACCTGGCCCCGCCTCAGGGAAACAACATAGGTCCGTTATTACCACCCTGCATCACATCATCCCCAATTGAAATCATCCACTGCCTGCATTGATAATCCAAAGTGTACGTTGCTGACTTTCCTCTTTTTTGGACCGCAGAGTATTCTTCCCCAGTCCGCGAGTCCGGAAACAAAGCAAGGAAGCTCTCCCGCGATGATTCTGCCAGCTCCTCTCTTTCGCCCGTCGCCCCCAGGACGCCCACTGCCATGGAGGCCGACGACAAGACCAAGACCGAAGAAAATGACGACGACGACGACGACTCCGATGATGACGGCCAGCCTCCGCCGCCTGCACGACCACAAGCCAACACTTTTGGCGATGACCCATCTACCTTCCCCGACCCGACCGTCTACGAAATCCTCCCGGTGAAGCCGGGAATGACGGAAGATGAAATCAAGGAGATCTACTCAGTAGCAGTCTATCCAAAGAGCGATCTGGCCGACATAATAGCCGGCGATCCCCCCGATAAGGACTTCAGCAGTGCGAAACCTAGCAACCAAATCAACTTTTCCACTTTCAGCACTTATGTCGAACCATTCTTCCGACCGTTTACAGAAGAAGACCTCGCCTTCCTTAGAGAGCGTGGCGACCGAGTCACACCCTTTGTTATGCCGAAGCGCGGGAAGAAACACTACACAGAAATATGGGCCGAAGAGGACGGCGCCATGGCCATCGATTCAGCTGACGTCAAGGACAAATTGCCCCCCAATCAGCCTCGTGGCAGCATAGAGAACATGAACGACGAAATTGCCGAGACAGACAAGCTCTCGGTTGGGCCGATTCTAGCACGGCTATTGCAGACAATGCGACCCGAACATCGTGCACCGCCTGCCGAGGAGAGACAAAACGGCGCCACTGCTGACGGGGATGTTGCTATGAACGGTGTCGATCGTTTTGATTTTGGGGACACTCAACCGCAGACAGCATCGCCCACGGTAAATGGGACTAACGGCACCAATGGAAACGTCAACGGCGCAACTGGACAACCCGGCTCAACCCAACTCCCGCCTGCAACTTTTATGCCTGAGTCCAACAGCGAATCATGGAAGAAAGCTTCGCATCCAAAACTCGATTACTCTCAAGTCGATGAACGTCTTAAGCAGGAGTTACGACACATTGGCTTCCTATCTTTCCCGCCTGACCAAGCCAACGGGACCAGCTCCCCATCTAACAATGTCTCGTCATCGAATACGGGCAATAACAATGCGTCTTCCACAGGCGGCTCCTCTGCCTCGCATCCCTCCGGTGGTGATCCTGGCCCCACAGCTGCCGATTTCGATGGGCATTATGATGATGAAGTTGCCGCCCGATTACGTCTTCTCCAAGCCCGTCTGCACGAGCAGGTTCTTCTTAACGGGGCTCGGAAAGCGCGTCTCACCGACCTTGTTAAAGAGCGCATGGCATTCCAAGAGTACCAGACCATTCTTGAAGACCTTGACAGCCAAGTACAAGCAGCCTACCTCAAACGGACCCGTACGATGGGTAAGAAACCGAAGAAGGCCCGACCAGGTGCTGCGAAGGATGGCGCCAACGCAAATGGAGCCGGGACACCCGGCCCAGGCGGTGCAGCAGGCATGGCGAGACCGGGCATCGGAGACCTTACGCGTACGCTCATGGAACGTAGGCGGAGGTGGATCGAGAACATGGGGCCTCTTTTTGAGGACGATGTTCCTCCATCGGAGGATATGAGCCCAGCGGCGAGAAGGATTAGGGGATCCAAGCTTATGAAAGTTCCTAGGGTGAATGAAGAAGGGAGCACAATTTTCTCACGAGAAGCAATGGCTGATCTGATCAAGCGGGAAAAAGATTCCTGGGATGACGAAGAGGCTGATGAGGAGTGAGTAGCACCTCCCAACAGCGCTGCTTTCCCAGGCCCGTCGGGGCCTTCCTGTACGCGCAGTCCTCCTGCTCGGATGCTGTCTCCGATGTCCTACAACGATTATGATATGGCTGAGGTTGTCGATGTTCATGGAGATGAGCAATCCAGCACATCGGTTAGACTTGAGAAAGAAGAACACAACCAACAAAACGGACACAAACCTCGTGTTCATGATCTACACCAGAACAGACACGACGACAGACAAGAGGACGAACAAGAGGACGAACAAGGGGACGAACAGCATCATTCAACAGAACTTGCCCGACACTCGAAACGGCTGCGTGTCAGCGATGCAGCATACGGAGATCGAAATGCGACTTCGAAATCCCCTGTGCGCCCTGCATAAAGGCTGTCGCGGGAGATCACTGTCGTTCAGTACTTGGCCTCTGTTTTTTTTTGTTTTTTTTTGGGGGGTTTTTTTTCACTTTCCCATTTTTTTTCTTCTGGGTTGGGAAGATGCTAGCAGCTATTGTCTTCCAAGCATGGTGGTGGCGTTCGGCATGGTACAAAATGGCGTAGCAGGGCAGGTAGGGAAAGGGTATAGTAAACAGGCTGGTGAGGATTACCATACGACTTGGTTCTATGTTTATTAAAGAGATGGCTGGTTATTCGGCAGGTTTTATCGCGCGGTTATGGATTTGGATATCGATACTTTGGAGTACGGAATTAGGGAACAACAATACTTAAGTACTGAATAAGAAGACTAGAAGAAAATGTCAGGTCAATCCTGCTTCTTCTTCCACCATATATTATGATGTGAAGTTGACTAGTATGATGATGCAACGGGACGTTTCAAAGGACGCTTGTGGTAGTAACTTCGCTCTTCTTGTTCACGTTCCAGTTTCAAGGAGTCAGTAATTATTCATTCCCCTTCTTAAAACTCCATCAGATCCATCACACAATTATCTCGGGTCTTCAAATAGCTTTTGATGAATTGAAATTGTATTTTCGAACGCCTTGCCATGACCTGATCCGCTATGCATGATTATGTACGAGTTCCGCTTCACGATGGCTGTATAACCACCACTTCTAACTCCACGTTCCATATTTCCCATCAACCTGAGAACAGAGAACAAAAAAAAAAAGCAATGCCAATCCAGCAGCGCCTTTGCTTGCTAAACTCCAGTCACACCGGGCTATCTATCAAATAACGCCTCGCCTGTCCGCCACAAAAGCTAACTGTACCGCAGCAAAAAATGACCACTCATTGATTTAAGACCCTGGTTCCTCCCCCGGCCCCACGGCCCCAAGCCCAACATAAAACCTCAGCGCCCTCTCATATGTCCACATGGTAACCGCGCTCGCCGGCGCCGCCTTGAACAAGCTAACTGTCAACCCCCTATACAGTCCCCTGACGCCCTCCCTCCTCACAATCGTCCCCACCGTCTTGACTATCCCCCCATCATACACGGGTATGTTCTTGTGCACATACAAGCTCCTTGTCGGGCCCTGGACTTGTATCCTTTTCCTCACCAGGTCAAGCGGAAACGTGCCCGTCTTGGCTACCACGCTTGCCACAACGCCCGCTACCGCTCCGCCCGAGCTGAAGGGGAGTTCGAGGTTCTGCAAAGACGGGCGAAGGAACTCGTACACGCAGAAGAACATGCCCATGTAAGGGATAATCTGCGCTAATCCGGGTCCTAGGCCGCGGAAGTAGCCTGACAGGCCTTCGGAGACGTAGATGTTTTTGATTGCTTGGTAGAGGGAAGGGTAGACGCGCTCGACTCCCTGTGCAGCGAAGCGGGTCCTTAACAAATCGAGGGGGTAGGTAGCTGCCGTGGCGAGGCCGCCTGCTGAAGCGCCGGCTACGAAGGACTCGACTGATGCGGGGAGCTGTTTGTTTTGGTCTTTGGGGAAGGTGACTTGCAGGAACTGGGTTATCGAGCGGTAGGTGGTGAACTGCGCGGCGGCGTACGAGACGTAGAGAAGCTCGGCGGGGATGTTGCCCTTCCAGAGACCGGTGAGACCTTCGGTTCGCAGGATGTGGCGGATGGTCGGGAGGGTGCCCTTGTAGATGGGTCCGCCGCCGACGATTTCGGGGCCGCGCTGGTGGATTACGGGGTCCGAGAGGGAGTGGTGTTGCAGCTGGAGACGGATCTTGACGACGTCGAGGGGGGCAATGACGAAGCTGTTTGGGAGGAGACACGGGGAGCGTTAGTAAGGGAGGTTGATCAATGACTTCCTGGGGTGGTTCGAAAAGGGAAGGGGGTTTGTAATGGACGTACCGAGAGATCAAGCCGGCCGTTGCGCCTGCGGCCGTCACCTGAAGGCGAGAACCCTCATCCTTGAGGCGTTCGGCCTTGCCAGACATTCATCCAGCACGCGATCCGTCAGCGAGAACGTTGGAGATGTGGAAAGACTGGAAGTGCACGCCCCGCGGTGTAAACGTGGGCTGAGCGATGCGTGATCGACGACCGGCCGGTGTTCGAGTGCGGGAGAGCAGCGGCCAAGCTAAAGGTACAGCTGACGTAGGGCTACTGCTACCGTGCAGGGAGCGTTCAAGCGGCGTGTTCGGGCTTCGGTGTTCGGATCTATCTGACGGCAGTGCTGTGCGCTTTGCAGTGATATCTTTGATGATGATGCTTCGTCTTTTTGTCGGGCGACGGCGGTCAAGTCTATGCGGTTCTTTCGGTGTTTAGGTAAAGAAATTCATAAGCGAAATGTAACTGCGAAAGACGTCAATTGGGAGTCGAAACTGTGATCTTATTGGAAGGCAGGGCAGGCGCGCCAAGCCTTGATTATTTCTCGTCATGTAAGTGTACAGTCTCTACAATGGATGCGTCCCGTCTATAACCGGGCGGCTTATTAAAAACGGCGAATTGATAAGGCACAAGGTTCGCGTGCCGGACCTCAGCTCTGATCAATGCCTTATCTCCATGACAAATGTGCGCTGTGAGTTCGTATGCTTGCGTTTCAAATATTCCCAAAGAGCCGAAGCGTACCTAGGTACCGGTATATGAAATGCAATTGCGCTTACAAACATACATGATGCTAATGGGGGCGTTTAATGCTGCAGCGCGTTGCTGCTATGTACTGCCTCGACGCGCATGTTAGGGCATGCATCGAGCACTTCCTCATGCCCTGTGTCCAGGGTCTTGTGATGTCCGTTGCTCTTGCGGAAAGATGGTAATGACGACGGTTCTGAAGGCGAAGTCTTGTTCTTTCTTTCCGGGCATGAAGAGGCGCGGACTAGCTGCCGCAGTGTGAGACACCATGAGACATGATAATGAGAAAGGGGAAGAGTTGTTCTCAGTGATGACGGCAGTGACGACATTGTTCACGACTCGTAACTGGGGGATCAACAGGGGTGCCACGCGCTCAGCTCAGCCTTGGCTTCCACTTTGTCACTTGATTTGAAGATCTGAAGTTGTTGAGGAAGCAGCAGCAGGCATTGCCATCATTTTGCAGAAAGGACGCTTTGATTTGTTCGTTGCACTGCTAACGTCCTGTTGTGTACCGTGTCGTTTGTGAAACTTATAGTAGAATAGTTGTGTGTTTTATTGGGCAAATCGATGACTGACAGATAGAAACTGTGAGCTGGGGGTCAAGGTGAGTCGATATGAAATACATGTGATACTGTCCTGTCCTACACGAGTGTAATGATACCAAAGCATACACAATTCCTCGACATGAGTTGATGTGACGCTTGGCTTATCTGTGAGAGTATTATCCCCTTGGGGCAGATATGGTTGAGGATAGTACTGGTATCGGGCGAGCGGTTGAAAGACGGAAAGAAAGGGGTGAGGAGAGAAAAACGACAGAAGAACCGAAAACAACACGTCCCGTCACCACGATTCCGTCTGCCGATACTACCGCCGTCTCTTCCATCCACATGCTAATAAATCAAAAAGATCGAGGCTCTTGACAAAAAAGTTCACCGTAGCATTGCCATGTCCATGGTTGGCGCTAATTGGTTCCATCCGCCCGAAGGTTGCTACCCAGCAATCACTAGCAAATCGCCCAGCAACGATCCCCACGACCCCAACGAGCAGCCGACCCCACTACTTCCTTGAATTGGCTAAAGCTGTCTGGCTGTTCCCCAGTTCTCCAGGTACGTACCTGCCGTCGGGATGCACCCCAGCGTTTGGCGATGTGTGAGCATGTCCACCTCCGCTCAATGCACGGGGCCCTCTTCAGTTCACGAGATGGACTCCCGTTCCCCGTCATCTCCATCATTCCGCAGCAGGGCATCGAAGCGTAGCGGAACCCGTGAGTCGGTGGGATATTTGTTTATCCAAGGAGTCTGTTATATCTCGGCATCCCATACCCCTCTCTTCCCTCTACCATCCTTTCTTCTTCTCTTCTTACTGTCTTTTTCTTCCCTTATTACCAATTCACTGCTTTGCCTCTTCACCACTTCACTTTCACCTGCTTGCCCGCCCAAGCAGAAGCGCTGCACGTCATATCTGCAGCAACAGTATCTCCGCCTAAGCCTCATACAAGCAAGAACCCCATTTGCCATCCGCAGTCCTTGCAGTGCATAGGGATCTGGATACCTGCAAGACCCAACTCTTTAAGCCACGCATCATTGTATCTTCAATCACGGACGTGTGTTGGGCTTTGGTGCAGTCGAACGATCTTTTCTTCGCCTTCCAAGACCAGTGCTATAAAGTCAACTGGACCTTTTGCCGAGAGCCATAATAAGGGTTGTCCAACTTGCCTTCGAGAGTATCACAAGGAAACTTCAGACCCCGCATTAAACACTTAGTACAACCTTACCTTCAATCTCACCACGACCACAACGATACCTACCATGGCCATTGCAGCAATGGCTTCAACCACCATCGCCTCTCCGGATATCAAGAGCCTCGTTAGGCCCGTCCTCTCCGCCCTGCCAGGAGCGTCCGCCTCGACCGAGCCAGCTACAACAGTACTACCACTTTTATCGCCCATTCTCAGACAGCGAGTACAACTTCTCTCCGGCGCCAGCTCAGATCCATGGATCCGCCTCCTTACCTATGACACCTCCAAGGTGTCCAAGCTTACCGAGATCGCCCAGAGCGGTAGTCTGGATCCCCATCCGGTATCGGGAGAAGTGGAGATGGATTGGGATTATGATGTCCACATCAAGTACAGGAGACTGGACCAAGAGACACTTCAGACCCTCGTGGCGTTAGGAGAGTTCGATCTGTTCATCCGTCTTGTGTACTGCGTCAACGACAAAGACGGCGGCGGTGACGGATGGCGTGTGGGCGAGATCGGCGTAGCCAGCGATCCATCGCCCCTGCAATCTTTCGGAGGTTATTCCACACTCGATGAAGCCGAGAAGGCGTTTAAGGCCCAACAAACCTCTGTGCCAGAAACCAAGCCCGCTGCGCAAGTTTCCATCCAAGCCGAGCCGGTCGAAGAGGATGATGACGACGATTACTGGGGTCGGTACGATGCCACGCCTTCCCAAACACCGGGACAGGGTCGCTCTCCTGCGCCGCCGTCTTTGGGCGCCGGCCTCAACACTCAAAATCCTAACCCCTTTGAGAGAAGCGCGTCCGCCGAAGATGCGTACTTTGCCCAGTACGAATCCGTACAGCCGGCCATGGACCCCCATGATCCGGACGAGGAGGCTCTCCAAGGTGGACCTATCGATGGTGGTGCGCCGCTTAATGGTCTTCTTCGCCGGTCTCCGTCGCCAAAACAGCAAATATACGAGCCTCCTGTTACAAACTGCGCACTAGCGCCGCCTCCATTGGGCCTAAGCGGAGACGGCAACGGCAACTATGTCCCATCTCGATCACCTTCGGACGAGTCAGGCTCCGGGTCGAGTGGCCGGCGCCTGTCCCAGGCGGACGAGGAGAGAACTGAGAGCCTTGCTCATCCTCGCCCAGCCAGTAGCGCTAGCTCGAACGGATCCCGTATGGTAGCCAAGCTCGAAGAGACCGCGGAAGCTCAAGATCGAGTGGAATTCGGTATTAAGCAGCATGTTTCGAGGTCAATTCGCAGTCTCTTCCAGTTATCGCGAGGCGCGGGAATTAGCCGTGAAGAGTTTGACCGCATGGTTAGAAACGAGCTTGATGTTCTTGCGATGGTGGAGAATGACGTTTGAATGAGCAGCGCAAGGAAGGTAAATGCGGAAAGGGGAGTCATCCATTTATTCAAGAGGGTGTTGGTGTTCACCTTTTAGGTTTTCTCATCTTGTTCGGGATACTGCATCATCAGGTTGTTTTTGGCGTCAGGGACCGGTGGGGGAAGTCCGTCGAGGCGGTCCGCCTCGTGATCTTGTTAATCATTCGGAGTTCGGGCAAGGGTGTTCAAGGATATGTTCAGCAATAGCGTTACGGAATATTGGTCAGAGTATGATAGTAAAACAGAGCAATTACACGAGCAAAACAATGAAAAGGTGACCAGTATTTGTACATCGCCGAGACAGTTGGAAGACGAAGTGATTGTGAGAGTCAAAGATGGGACTCCGGAATTGGCAAACAGCTACCCCACCAAGCACGTACCTCTCACCATTTCCAGGGTTGGGGTTAACAGTGAGTCTTCTGTATGGACTGCCAGCCGCCAGTTCGTCCCAACGATTGGTCCCTGCCCCAATGGCCGGGACCTTCCGTAGCGGAGCAAAAAAAGTCTCGAAAGTCGCGTCCCACTTTGACGGTCTTCCGGGGTTGATTGCCCGTGTGTTTTGAAAGTGCGTCCGTCCTCCGCTCTGCGCCGGCAGTCCGTCCTGAAAGTCGAGCGTCTCCGTCCGTCCTCAAGGCCCCCCACCCAACCGTCCACCGTCCACCTCCCCCGACCGACCGGCCGACCACCGAACCTTTTCCTTTCTTCCCTCCGAACCCCCGAACCCCGGCCCGTTTTCTTTTACCGAGAAAAAGACAAATATAACAGACAAAATGATCGGCTCCATGGGTCTAAGGATACCCCGTGCGACAAGCTCGCTCCTCGGTCGTGCCGTCAACGCCGCCGCCGCCGCCACCAACCAGTCTGCCGCTGTCGCCGGCGCCAGCGTCGCCGCCCAGAGGAGATGGCAGCACTACCTCATGAAGCTCCGCGACAACTTTGAGGAGAAGGGTATCCCCAACTTCCTCAGCCCCGGCTCCGTCAACATGGCCTATACCGAGTACCAGACCTTCATCTTGGAGAAGCTTAACGCGCTTGTAGTAGGTACGTACACGTACGGGTGAACAATACTGGATGCTGTCTCTTGGGGTGTGTGGTCTCTGGCAGGATATTGGGTGGTGGCATGGCATGGCATGGCATGGTATGGATGAAGAGCAGGTTATGCGCGCGGACTGCTGGCTGGCTGCGGGGAATGGTTTACTTGTGTTCAAGACGCCAGGATTGGATGCTGTTGAGCCTGAGACGAAGAGGAGGAGGCATTCACGCAGTGGTCGCAAGGCGCAAAACAAGAGGATGAAACAGAAGGAGGAGGAGGGTTGAAGATCAACGACGGAGACATGCCGTGCCTTCCCTAGGGCACACCACAATTACCTATTTCACTTTCGCAAGAGAGCTATCTCACTGACAAAACCACTTTACTTACTTCTTTTTCGCAAAACAGGCACCGACTTCGAGCAAAAAGACACAAAGTCCATCATCCTCGCCACCGCCCGCGACCCCGAGCTCGCCCACGTCTTCAACCACGCCTCCATGGCGCACAACAACCACTTCTTCTTCGACCACCTGTCCCCCGCGCCCGTCAAGATGGGTGACAAGCTGTTCTACCACATCAACGAGAACTTCGGCTCCGTCGACACTCTGAGGGACGAAATGATCGGCACCGCCGTCTCCATGTTCGGCCCCGGTTTCGTCTGGCTCGTCCGCACCCAGCTCCCCGGCCAGCCCGTCGCCCTCCGCGTCATGGCCACCTACCTCGCCGGTTCACCCTACCCCGGCGCCCACTGGCGTCGCCAGGAGGTCGACACCCAGACTGCCATCGGCAACTCCCCCCAGGGCCTGGCCAACGGCCAGCGCCTCCTTGAGCGCAGCGCGGCTGGTTTCAAGGGCCAGAAGCTCGAGTCTACCGCTCCCGGCGGCACCGATCTCATTCCCATTCTCTGCTTGAACACTTGGGAATATGCCTGGCTCCGCGAGTACGGAACCGGTGTGGGTGGTATGGGCGGCAAGCTCGCGTATGCGCAGAGCTGGTGGAACATGATTGATTGGGCCAAGGTTGAGGAGGAGGCCAGGCTGGAGGCCAGGATCTTGACGGGTGGTGAGGGCTCTGTTGCGCCTCTTGCTTCTCTCTTGTAAGAGGGAAAGAGGAAGAGGAAGATGAAGAGGAAGAGGGATGGAAGGGGCGGGCTAAGTCTAAAGTAAGAAGCGAAGCCGTTGGGAGTTCTGAAAAAGCTTCAGCTTCAGCTTCGACTTTGTGTAACTTTTTGGTTCTGAACTACTCTCGAGATCTACTGACTGGCTCATCGCATCACATCAATCCATACCTACCGCCGCCGTCGTCGTCGGTCCAATGGTTGCCATTGTTCTTGCTCTCGCTCTTGTCCGAGAGGGACAAAAGGAGCGAATGGAATGGAATGTGATGATGGATGAGATGAGGTTGGACGGTTATATGGTTTTTTTCTGTCTAACTTTGCTCCTTCTCTCTGTGTATCTGTCGGTCTGTCTGTCTGTGTATATGGAACCCGTGGGTGGTTATAGGGAAAATGTGTTCTTCTGTACGATAGGATAGGATAGCATGACTGGCGGTGGTGTAGGACTGGCCGGAACAAAAAAGAGAAAGGAAAGTAAAAAATCTAAACCAACCTTAACTACCGGTTGCTGTCTATGTTTTCTTTTATATGTGTGGAGATTTAGGTCCCATTATATATTGCAGTATACCAGCACGTCAGATCTACTTGTAAAGTGTAAGTGTAGTATGTATATCACAAGATCCCCTTTTGCTATCACCATACGTTGTTTACTGTAGCACTCACTATGTCCTACAACTGAAGAGCTACAGGGTTTTCTCATGGTCCTTCCAAAGACCTCAGGTTAATTTTTTCGTTTCGCTCGAGCAATCCGATTCTTTTTCCCTCTTTATCTCCTGGTTTTTATTACAGTCACGGTCTGTTTTACTCCAACGCTTCTTCTTCTCACAAGTAATCTTCTCACGAATAAGTCAAACCGCACCCTTCCATCGATTCCTCTACTATGACGGTATGATTGATTGATAGCTAGCTACTTTGTTCACCTGTTACAATTCAGCGCCGTCAAGGTATCCATCCATCTATTTGGGTCTGTGTCAGCAACGGCAACAGATCAGATTGAATTGACTGATTACCAGACTAACTACTTGGTTGCTGAGATCCGACTGTTTCGTGTCGGAGCGGTAGCCAAGATAGAAGTAGGTAGGTAGGTAGGTAGGTAGGTAGGTAGGTAAGTCGAGTACATATGAGTGAGTGAGTGACGGGAGAGTGTATCGCGGTGTCTCGATTGCCATGTTATCTAGGTATGTCTTGTGTCGTATTGATTTGTTTTTGTCTCGTCTCGTCTTGTCTTGAAACCTGGATATGGGTATGGGTATGGATATGAAAAACTTATCCGTCATGTTCTTTAAAATTCATTCATGGTTAAGATATCATTGTAACATGGCCAAATGTTTTGGTTTCTCAAAACCAGAGCTTACCTCTAGGCAATTCATGGTTTCCGTAATGTACCGAGGCTCATTCATACACACAACTTTTACACTTTTGCCTAGCCTAGCCTGTCTATCGTCTCTCATTTCTTGCAAGGCCAAAAAAACAACCAAAAAACAACAACCGGATTTATTCCTCTCAGCTCTGCTGTCAGCTGTGCATTCATGTGTCAAACTTGTCAAGCTCACCTTTGTCATACTCAAAACCCATATGTGTGTCAACCTAGTAACACCAAAATCCAGTTTGATACTATGTACCAAAGAGTGGGAGCCCATGCCATGGCTGTCCTGGCGTACGTAGATGGCTTGAGTAGGCTCGTCTCACTCGTGTGTAGCCAAGCTCCTATAAGCTTCTAAGCGACAAAGTTAACCTAGCAAGCCTAGATTTAAATCGTGGGCAGGGTGCCTAGTTACCATGACTGTTTTGTGCCCCTTGACGGACTAAGTTGTCAATGGCCAAGATACGAACCATTCATGTCAGGCAGAAGGATGAGTGTAGTTGGATTTTGACATGTATATATGAATCCGGTAGATAGATTGGCGATACAAAATGGTATGTCCGTAGTTGACACTCACTCACGACATTGCCCTAGGCAAGTACGAGCAGATTCGCCCAAGACAGGATGACGGAGTTTGGTGGTATGGTATGGTAGTAAACTGCTCTTTCGATGGTTCATGGACGCTTCCATGTCATATAATTCGTGGGGGTAGAAAGGGGGGTCGATGGGTACGTACAACTAAACGGTTAGCTAAAGTCCAAAGCCATGACCTGAGGTCTGGAATGGTCTTTGACATCTTGAAGTCAAGAATAAAGGAGCGCTTGGCTCGCCTTACCGGATATAACGGCAGTGGAACAGTACAAGAAACAATATATTAACCCCGCAGCTTCCAAAAAGCTTATTCGAGCTTGATGGCACCTGTTTTACTGCCAGCTGCCCTCCCTTTGGAGATGAAACTTGCTGGCTTCCTGGGTCGTTCTGTATCTGGGCTTGTGATGGTTCGATGTTTGGCTCAGTTTGTGTACTGATATGTACCGAACGCTTGATCCCAGCAGAGCATGTCGATCACCGGCTCGTGTTGCTAGAAGTATTGAGTCTTGGGACTGTAACTTCTTTAGGCAGACACCAAAAACAACCGGTTTTTGAGCAATGCGGTATTGGGAAAGTCATCCGTGACAAAAGCTCAAAAGATAAAAGATGTCAGGATGATGAATACATGGACATCCCAAACACAGACCCAATCCCCGATTCATCTCCGTCCATCCAGTCACCACGTCGGATTGGGCTCTCCCCGGTGTGCCCCGTCCCGGTCTTTTGGAGAGGGTGGTGAATGCGAGCGGACTAAAGCGTGCGATCCGAAGCCTCACCTGGCTGAAGTGTGGGCGAGGCGAAGTATAAGGAACACCCTCTCTTCTTGTTGACGCCGAAGGATCATGATGTTTTCAAAAATTGTTGGACGCATATGCATGCATCATATGGAAACCGTTTGGCAGGCCGGGCAGTCACAATTCGATCGGCATCTCCATCAACAGCAGCCGCTCAGCTTCGGGTGTAATGTCGAATATCCCCGTAGCCACTTACCCAGTCCTTATTCTCCCATTGCAGCTTCTCCTCGCTGTGTGCCCCTATCACGAAATCTCAGAGTGACCAGTCAGTTTAGCGGAAAGATTACTTGTCTAATCGTACCTGCCTTGTTCTGGAAACGGTAAAGACATCGGACACCACATCGGAGGAGGGGCAGCGGAAGCGAAGGGAAAGTGCAAGCGACGGGACTCCTCCCATCATGCACCTCGCTTTTGTCGGGTCTCTCTGAGACGGTTCGCGGGAGCTGTCGTCCGCTTTTCTTTTCTCCGCGCAAATCCGAAGTGTCTTGACGATTCTGTAGCAGTGAGCAGTCCTGTCTCCAAATTTGTACCTGACACTTCACCACATCTTCACCCCTTTTCTTTGGCTGAACAGCAGGCCGACCTTGCTAGCGAAACAGCACTGACTGGCGTTTGGGAAAAGGCGGGAGACGCCCAACGCACAACGCATCGTGAAGAGCTGTTGTTCGCTTCGGATCTGGTCAGCAAAAAGAAAAAGAAAGGTGAAGAAAGCAGCGAAAAGCAGGCCGCAGCGGGGCATTGAGCAGTCCCAATGGAAACAGGATTGACGATGGAACGTCGGGAAGATGTTTCCGTGGGAGTGGGTGGTGGGAGAGCGCACGGACGACGGTCGCAGTACACTAGCTCGACTAGGCACAAGTAATAATAAAACCACGCTAGACCGTGGTCGGGGTGGATGCCACAAAGACGCAAAGACGTCAACTCTTGTGGGAGCGAAGCTGCAGTCGACACTGAAAATCACTGGCATCCCCCCGGCGAGCGGCGAGCGGGCTACGCTCCGGTTCCAACCATCCAGTTCCAGCTGGACGGGAGTTTGTCTTGTCTCAATTGTTCGTCGAGTCTTGGATCCTATCGCAATCGCAACCCTATTCGCATCCTGTCTCCTGGCTCTCATCCCGTCTGCTACCTGATCCGCCTTGTCTTGTCCCGCCGGTCGGTTCGGTCAGTCATTGCCCTGTCTGTGGTCTGCGCTCCCGCCGTGTGCCTTCCTTCCACTGCTGCGAGACTCCCGCTGCGCTGCAATCTGCACTCTGCAACATCTGCACTGGCCGTTCCCGTTTTCTTGGCTCCACGGTCAGATCTTGGCTCTTTTCCCAGCTTCCCGTCACTCTTTCCCTACAACAGCAGCAGACAGTGCAACCAGGCAAAGTGGAAGAAGGCGCGCAGCATCGAAGAAGCGGATTTATCGATTGGGAATTGGCAGCCACGGCACCGAAAAGCGAGCTTCCACTTGACTTCCATCCCAAGACTTCTCAAGCCAACATCGAGCCCGCCAACTTGTCGCCAATCTTCCTTCCCCTAACTTCATACCGGCCAAAGCCTGAAAATCCCGGTCCAGCACTCCCCTAACGACTTCCAATCTTTCGCCGGGCTGTCCGTCCTTACTTTTCGCCATCCGACCAAACTCTTTCCCCATTCAACAAAACTCGGCGGCGGCAGCAGCAGCACCAGCAGCAGCAATAACAACCCATTCCACTTCCATCTATCCCACGGCATTCTCTCGCAAAAAAAAACGGTTGTTTTGCGGATGCCATAGAACCCGGAGCCGAAGGGCCGCTGTAAACCCTTCGAAATGCCCGACAATGTCCATGTGTGAGTGGTCGCTCCCTCTTCCCCCCTATAATTCAAAGACCCCCCGAAAAGCCCCCCCTCTCCGCTTCCGCTTTCCCAGCGCTTGGCGTCCGGTCGATGCTCCTGAGGCTATTACCTCTTGGCTGGCCAAGCCTCGCCAAGGCTGGGGAAACGAACACCGTCTTTCGCCGCCACGGGCGCACGTCTTCAACGACTTCGTGATACCGACATGTTGTTGACGACCATCTACTGACACGTCTTTATTGTTACAGCTGTCGATGAGATTCGGAATGTCGTGTACGTCGTCCTCCCTCTCACTTGTTGTTTATCCGGCACCCCCATCCCGTCCACCTTTCATTCCTGCTTAACCCACTCCAAGTGGACCCTGCGCTGGAGCCTCCCCTTCCCAAGACCAGCCAAGTTCCAACTCTGCCTCGTTTTCTTTATCGCCAAGTTCGATTGCCAAGATCTCATCTGCATCTTGCACCAGAGCCTCAACGTCTCGCGATGGCCTCAGGTATAATGGATCGTTACGGCATCACACTTCAGCCCCGAGATCGCGAGCTTCCCTGTGCTAGACGAAACAGCATCCGCCTTGTTTCTTTGCTAATCTGACTCAACCTCTTGCAGCCTGTTACTTAGCAATCCAGCCTGGCGCGGTGGCACAACTATTTCAAATACCGTCATCAGAAATGTCACGGCTTTGACAGTACGTCTGGTACCTTGCATTGCTGCTGTTGCGGGACTCCTCGTTGACTCGTTGTCATTAGCACAAACTTACCGTTTCGAACCGCATCGCCGAGAACGTGACTGTTCTGGCATCAAAGTATGCAGCAACCCAGAATGGCGTCATCCAGGGTCTACTATACGTCCCCGACCTTTCCGAGAAACACCCTTGTGTGGACAACTTGACCGATTACATACCAGAGACGGCTACTCGTCGTGTCCACCTTCCGCCCACTAACATCAACCTCATCGCGCTCGTGCCTTGGATCAACGCCCAGTGTGCCAGACACTTCTTGATATCAGCTCGCAAAGACCCGGTACGAGGTCTCATCTTCTACAAACCCGACAACTCGACCGAAAAGCCCCCAAAGGGTAGTTCAGATGAGTGGGATATTGGAGACGGTGGAAAATGGAGATCACAGACTGGGTATCCCATCTACGCCATGTCAGGTGCCGCTGGCCAGAGAGTTATGGACCAGTTGAGCATGTACTCGGGTAACGTGACGGATATACCCTTTGGTGATAGAATCGCCGAAGTGTATAATCCTAGTCCAGGCGATTTCGTGCGAGTATGGACCGAATTATCGGTTTCCACTGACACTGCTCTACCCGGGATATGGGTCTACATCCTGATCATCATCGGAGTTCTCCTGGGCGCGATCATCGGGACTTCGCTTCTGATGCATTTTATCCAAGCCAGGCGCCGCACCTCTCTGCGCAGACGTGTCATTTCCGGCGAGGTTAACCTAGAACGAATGGGTATCAAGCGACTGAGGGTGCCTATGGAGCATATCGACACCTTTCCTCTCTATACTTACCATTACGAGCCGGATAGCATCAGTATGCCAACCTCGCCGAGGTCTTTGCGTCCTGGTAGGCCCAGAAGAGGCAGTCGAACTCAATCAGAAGCACCCACCGCCCAGTCCCTTTCCGGGTTAACCGTGGCGCTGTCAGAAAAAGCGCCTAGCACCGTTGCAACCGACTATCAGCCAGCATGTTCTATCTGCTTAGAACCGTACCAAAACCGAGTTACGGTTATTCGAGAGCTTCCCTGCGGACACATCTTCCACACGCAATGCATCAACGAATTCCTCAGCGAAAACAGCTCGCTATGTCCGATATGCAAAGCTTGCATGCTGCCCAAGGGGTACTGTCCCAAAATAACTAATGCGATGGTACGGCGAGAACGGGCGGTGCGACGATTACGAGATCGAATAACAGTCGAGGATTCTTGCTCGGAATACGAAATGGTGGATCAAGGAAAGCCGACTCGGGGAGGCAAGGGATTTAAGAGCCTACTAGGAAGAGGAGGAGATGATCCCAAAGCTGCGGATGCAGCAACAATTGCTACGAGTCCATCCCGAATATCTACTAGGCAGGCCTCTAGTCAGCGCGCGGGACGTATAAAACAACAAAAGCAAACCGGAAACAACAATAATGGTAATGTGCAGGGTGGCATTCCTGCTGAGCTCAAAAAGAAGCGGATGCGGGAACTGGCTGGCGGCTCCGAAATCGACGATGGGGAGTCGCAAGCACCAGGCTGTAAGTTGATTACCCTTACCCTCTTGTCGTGATAAAGGAGCTACTGACTGACCAACTTCCTATACAGGGGAGAGATTACGGCGCAAAATATTCCCAGGCTTCTAGGTACAGCCGATAGATATCTCGGCCTCGTTACGCACTCGTCGGACGGGTAACAAGAGTTCTTTAGAGGAGGTGGAGAAACGAACCGGCAGGTGGCATAACTTACATCCACCTCCGGTTCTTGGAAAGAGAGGATGGAATATGGTATAGGCGATATGGACATGATACCCCTTTTCGCATGTTTTGGCAGATTCACACCTTGGTGGTGATGGGCATAGAGAAGAGCATTTGTACGGGTTTGGTTTCGGCGTTCTAATCATCATCTTGTGGCATTTTGTGTATAGAGACTATCTACCTCTACGGAGGATACGACTGAGAAGTGTTCTGAGAGGACCTTGTGGTGTCATCTAACAAGTCCCAAAATGAGATTCTGATGCACATCCTGATCAGCGAGTGATTCGGTACGAAAAGCCATAGAGGTACTAAAAGGTGAAGAACCAGAAGCTGAGGTACATCAGCTCGAAGACATAAGGGCTCTTATATGCATGCAATACCAGATGGGATGGAATACTGAAGATCAGATGAAAACCCAAGATCTGACACGTGCTCGCAAGTGCCATCACATGAAGCACGGCTTGGATTCTAGAAAAGCCAGACTTCATCGAGAACGTCAAACATTATCGCGGTACTTGCTGGTGGTGAGCTAGATACTCGGTTGATATTAACTAGGTACAGAAAAGGATGATGCAAACTGCAATCTACGGGGTATCAAATGACGCTTGAATATTGGAAAATCTGCCACCTCCTTCTTTCTTTCTTTCTTTCTTTCCTTCCATTCCTTCCATCTTTGCATCTCCTAGGTCCATAGTCGTTCGTTTTCTATGCGTCCTTCTTTGCTTTCAGATTTCTTCAGTTCTTTCCACAGCCAGTGTGGGAATAATGTTGTTCTTTAATGCTCGATCCTCAACTCCCAGGTTGCTCCTCCTCCTCCTTTTGGTCATATATGTCCCCTCAGTCCCTAAGTGAAATGCAACGCAACCAGCCGCCTCCTTATCCACGCCCTTGCCCCGTGTTTTCAAAATCCAAAATCCAAAAAAAAGAATGAGATAAAAAAAATGCAATGCAATGAAAATGAGACATCAAAGAGTGTGTGTGTGGTGTTGTTCTTAAAGAGAGGAGAGGAGAGGAGATGGGATCCAGCCCGCTCGCTGCCTCACTAGTCACTACTCAACATGACATGTGAATGAATGAGATGAGTGCTGTCTAACCCCAACCAATACCAATGACCAATGCTTTCTTTCGCTTCCTTCCTGTAAATGCTTGCATGCATGCAATGAATGGAGCCAGACAGACAGACAGACAACTAAGGGAAGGTGTAAGAGAAAAGAAAAAGATGCAGGCTTATGCCGTCGGAAATCCCACCGGGCTTTTCCTCACTGCCAATTACCCTCCTCTTAACAACTGACTATTCCCAACCCACCACCACGCAACGGTAACAGTATGGCACACGCACACGGACGGAATAGCTAGGTAGCGAAACAAAAGGTTCTACTAAAACCTGTTTGTTCGGCATGCTACCCGCCCCGGGCACCTGCGGTCCCAGCAACCCAGCCGGAGTCTTAGGCGTAGGCGGCACGTACTTAGCGCCCCTCGCTACTGCGCCCAAGTCGGCTTCCTCCATCATGGCCGTGAAGGTTGTCACTGGTCTTGTCTGTCCCTGGTGGTGGTTGTTGTCGGGGTTGAAGGGGTCGTAATCATCGGTGTTGTAGTTATTGGGAATGGGAATGTTGGTATCGTTGTTATTATTGAGATAGGGGTAAGTGGAGTTGGTGTTGGGGATGAATTTGGAGTAGGTGTTGTTGTTGTTGTTGCTGTTGTTGGCGTTGTCATTGGATTTGGCAAGCCGCTCGGGGGTCAAAGTCCGTGGATCGGCAAACACGTTGATGCTGACTCCGCTGTTTCCGCGCGGGCTGTCTGGTCCGCCTTGACCGCCGCCGCCGCCGCCGCCGCCGCTTGTTGCGCCCCAGGGCGTGATGGGCGGCGTGGTGTAGCCGGGTCGACCGCCTGCTGCTGGTGGAGGCGAGTTGTTGCGGCTGTTGGTGCCGGTGCCGGTGTAGGCTGAGGGACCGGGAACGTTACTGCCTGCACTAACATTACGTCGTCCGTAACCACCATAGGCTATGCTGCTGTCGTGCCCCTCGGACGGGGTTTTTGGCCCGACTGTTGTTGCGGCTGTGGTAGTTTGGAGACCCGCGCGGTGGAGTGTCGAAGGGGTTGACGTTGCCTGCTACTGCTGCAAAGTCGGAGTCCGGGCGGCGGTGAGATTGGGCGGAGACCGAGCGGTTGAAGTCCGTTCGAATGGTGTCCTCGGCAACAATGGGGTTGCTGATGATGTTGCCGAAGGAGGATGTCGATCGGTTCAGGCGCGGTTTCTCGCCATGGCCATGGTGGCCGTTACCGGCTCCAGCTCCTCCGGGAGCCTTGCCTTTGCGCTTCAGAACGCAGAAGTAGAGGGCGATTAGGCCGACGATGAGGAAGACGGCAACGCCTGCAACCACGCCAGCGATGATTGCAGTGGGACTTCCTCCGCTTTTCTCCTCCGGCTCTTCGTGTTCGGGCTTCCCGCTTTCCACGGGCTTTGCGTCCCCTGCTGACTTGTCACCACTTGCTGTAGGCTTGCTGCTTGCTGTAGGTTCGTGGGTTGATGTTGGCTCATCGGTTCCAGCAGGAGGCTCGGCCACAGAGAAGATAGATGTGGATGTAGTCTGGGTTGGTTGAGAACCGCTTGTTAGCGCTTGAGTTGCCGTCGTGATTGGGCTTGGCGGTGGTTTGTTGTTCAATTCCTGCGGTGTTTTGGACTGATCCGCATCCTTTTGACAGTGACCTCCGGTGTTGCAAGAGTAGCCCCATGGGCAGCATTTGTCACCACACTTTCGTAAGTCAATATCCAAAACAGTGCTCTTGAGTTGTGCCTTAGGATTCTTTTCTGGATCCTGCTTGTTAATGTCGCAAGTAACCGATTGTATTATCGAGCAGTCTGATCCATTTGGGCAGCAAAGAACCGCAGTATTTGCGGCCAAAGGGATGCATGTCGAGTCGGTCGGACAGCAAAAGTTATCGGGCAAACCTGCCTGGGAACACTTTGAGAAACCCTCGGCCGCACATGTTGATTCTGACTGTCGGTGGAATAGCTGGCTAGCTGGTATGGCTGAGACTGTTGTCGCGCTCAAGGCGACGAGCAGTAGTAGTGAGCTCGCTTGCTGTAGTAGTCGCCGCGGCCCCGGCATTGTGAATATGGACTCGAGCAGGGCCGTGCTGAGTAGTCAGGTGGGCGTAGGATATGTCTTGGGCTTATTATGTCGGCTGCAGTCGAGACGGCTCGAAAGATGGGTAGGAACTCTCACTTGTAACCGGCAACGTGGAGAAAGAGAACAAAGGCAAAGAATAATCAGAGAACTGGAATTATCATGTGCGAAGGACGACTTTGTTGCCACCACAATGCGTTTGAGAGTTTTGACGAGAGGGCGGATGAGAAGCCGTAGCCCCAGGATAATGACAAACAAAGAAAAATGACGACGACGTTGACCAGTCAAACGACGAACGGGACAATAATTTCAAGAAAGAGAAGGGTGAGGCAAACGGGAGAAGGAGTCAGGAACCGCTTGGTTAAGGTATCTTGGGTATATCGAGAACTTTTCTGGCCGGCCGTCTGGCTCATGAGCCCTCGTGTCTGTAACAGCTAGCCGTGGACAGAGGACTGACACATGGACAAGCAAGCATGCGTTAGTTTGATACTGCAGAAGGAAAAATTCTTCGCAGAAACAACAGAAAACGCCATCATTTGGCCCAATGAATTGGTCCAGCGCAACGCTCTCCTCCAACCGCTTTTCATCAAAGATGAATGGGTCCCTGGCGCCATCCAACATCCAAGGAACCACGGGCGCGAATGGGTGAGTCTTGGAACCTCAAAAAGGCTTCCCGTCAACGGTACCACGCAGATTAGCATCTGCGGCCCTGGCTATCTGCAACCCCGGAATGTGCATGCCATGGTTGCGGGAGCCGGGTGATGGGGCCATGGTGGTCAGTCACCGTCTTGTCAGCCTGGTTGTAGTCAACGGATTCAGGGCAAATCTGAGATTTGGGTGAGTGCGGCCGGGCATTGTCAGGGGCTCTAGACAAGGTGTGGATCAAGGCAGTGTAAAAGGGTATCAAAGCGTTTCGCTTCTGAGCAATTGCTTGGTTGACGTGAAGCGCCGACGGCCTGGCGATGAATGATGAGTGGGCGAATGAGTGGCAGACGGAGAATGTTGGCCTGTTTGAAGTTGTCAAAGTGAAGATGACAAGATGCAGCTTGGTTGGTCCACAACGATTTTCCCGTCCGCGCCTATGTTACGCTAACAGGGACCCACTTTTAGGTTCAATCCAGGGGTCACTTGATCTTCACTGAGCGTCACTGAAAATAGAGCCGGCAACTAAGCCGACAAAGGCCTAGTGCCCGCTCGCCAAGCGCCGGGTGCCAGCCGGATTACGGAGCGGGAACCAGCTGCTGTGCACGGGCTACACGGGATTCTTCTCGGTCCAAGGACGGACCCGGGGACACTGACCTTCCCGTGACTCTGTCCATGGCGCAAGCTCGACATGGCCCGGAGTGTCTACGGAGCATCTAACCATCCGACCCGGTAACAGAGCCATACAACTATCCGACGGCCACATCACATCTGCACGCATACTCTATGTCACACATCAATGTTATTGATCCGGCGGATCTCGAGTCCGCTTGCTCTCCCGTGAGTTGAGGCACGTTATCACCGAAAGATGACGAGTTGACAGTCTTACCAACCCATGATGAGGCTGCTATGGCGGCAGCTCGACAATGCACGTTACCAACTCATTTCAATATTTGAAGCTCAAGGAGTCCCAAAACACCGAACTATCACTGTCGAAACGCCGAAGGTCATTCTGAACCATCCCGCAACAAAGATGGGTGATGACAAATGCCCTAATTGCTTGTAATCCTCCGCCCATTTGTGCTATGGGTGATATCTTCATCTGAATTTTGTACCATGAGCGCGACATCACGGCATCGAAGTGATGACAACATGCCAGTCAGTACAAGAGATAAGGATCAAAATGTCGAAGTATAAAAGCTCACAATCGCCGACATCATGGAGATGAAATTGAGACCATCATACAATCAAGACACTCAAGCCTCATCACTACCACTGAGCCAGCAATTTGACCTAGACAATAGTCCAAAATGACAACTCCCACCATCAAAACCGTCCTCATCACCGGCTCCAACCGCGGCATAGGCCGCATCCTCCTCACTTCCTATCTTCTTAGGCCCTCTCACACCGTCATAGCCGCCGTCCGCAACCCCTCACACCCATCCTCTCAATCCCTTCTCTCACTTCCAGTCCACCCCTCCGGCACCACCCGGCTGGTCATCGTCAAGCTCGACCTAAACGAGCGCACCGACCCTGCCGCCGCCGTCAAGGAGCTCGCGGAGAAGCATGGCATCGACACCATCGATGTAGTTATCGCCAACGCCTCGGTGGGATATATCTGGCCCAAGCTCAGGGATGTCGAGGTGGATGATATCAGGGCGCATATGGAGACGAATGTGTTTGGGTTTGCGGAGCTGGTGAAGGGGTTGTTGCCTGTTTTGGAGCGTACGGCTGCGAAGAAGGCCGAAAAGGGGGAAGATAAGGAGGTGGTTTGGGTGGCGATTGGAAGTGGAGGGGGGTTTTTGAATGTGAGTTCTTCTTTTTTGGCTTCTCTGGCGTCTTCTTGGTCCATGCCATGTGTCTGGACTGTGTATCTGGAGGGATATGGTACCTGCGAAGAACGTTGTCTGAAGGAAAGAAGGGGTGATGTGACGAAAAGGAGTTGAAAGTGTCAATGATTGCGGTCTTGCTTCGTTGCTAACTAAATTGTTTTACACCATACAGAACGCCCAAGCTGCCGCCATCCCCAACGCAGCGTACGGCGTCACGAAGGCAGCCCAGCATTACTTGACCGGCAAACTGCACCCCGAGGAGCCGTGGTTGACCTCCTTTTCCATCGACCCTGGGTAAGTAAAGCCAGTTATCCATCAGTTCTTTCCCGAAAACTCTTTTTTCTTTAGCACCAGCCCAGTAGTAGGTACATCAACTAACACAAAGGCCATCCCAAACAGCTGGGTCAAGACCGACATGGGAAACGCTGGAGCACGCGCAATGGGCATCGACGAGGCGTATGGTGACCCGGAGGAAAGTATCAAGGGCATGCTGAAGGTCTTTGACGCTGCTACGAGGGAGACGCACAGCGGGAAGATGTGGACTTGGGAAGGCGAGAGCGTCCTGTTCTAGACGATGTAAACGTTGAGGAGGCGAAGGCAGAGGATGGTTTCGATATTTGGTTACCTATGTGATATTTCCGCTGAACGCAGTCTAATACTGGTTTGTTTGTTAGCTCGAGACCTCTAGTCAAACTGTTTTGTTCTATAGTTAAAGGGTAGTCTTTACCTATCTTATATATGCTGTTTTGGGAATCTGATCAAATATATTGAATCTTGTTAATTAAGGTTGGGATAGTCCGGGTCCGATCTCATCCAGTCCAACGGAGGTACTGGGTTGACAAACAAACCAGCATTAGATTGTACCTTGACACTGCGAGAGTGTGGGAGTCATTAGAATATAGCTCATGATGGTTTGGTATGAAAGCAATTCAAGGTTATAATTTACGATTGACTCTGATGCCCTCGTACATTGGTGTTAATCGTTGAGAATTGGAGATTGCTCTCCTCTCTGCCCATTGTCAATACAATGCGCTTTCGAACTATTCGAACAACCCACCTCACTCAGGTCGGACCACTATGGTCAATATTGTAGAATGCACAAATCCAAGAGGACGGTAAAGGCACGGCCCAATGACATAACCATCGTGAAGCAACAAGAGAAATAATCTATTTGTATATGCCACGGTCAGTCAGGTACTCGTTTTGCAGACGAACAGTGGACGATCTCTCCTCCATTGAGGCCTCGCAACTTATCATCGAATCGTATGAAACCTTCCATGAACATCCATCTTGGAGTCCGAAGGCAAAGAAACCTTCCATGTGATAACAGTTCACAAGTCCCAAGTCATTCCCAACCTAAGCGCCCTCACAATATCGCCCCCAAGCCTGATACATCTACCTTACCAGCAACAGCTCGCCCGTGTCGCGTGTTTTCCTACACATCTTCTTCAAGCGCGCGCTTAGGAGCGATGCGGACTGCCGCCAAAGAGGCCTCCTGATGAGGCTCCTCGGCAGTCACTCACATGACACTCCCCCCAAGCTCTCCATCAATCCACTCCTTTCCCAATCTTTTCCAGAATCTCCAAAAGGTCTCACTTTTCGGCTGCTTCATTCCGAAGAGTCGGGTCTTGAAAATGGGTCGCCGCCACGGTCGCGGCCGGATTGTTGAGGGTTTCTTGAGGCTATGTATGTTTCGACGTATGCATGTATGTACGTAGTGGATTTCCCAAAACATTGCTGCTGTGGACGTGCCCCTATTCGCAGGTTAACAAAAATTCGCCCCACAACGAATGACCCAAAGGGGCAAAGGGGAGGGAGTGGCTAGTGCATAGTGGCCAAAGTTAGGCAGTGCGGCCACTTATAGACCGCTATAAATGATGCAAACCTAACGAATTGGAAGCCATTCGCAATCCGAAAGCGATGGGATTTCAAGGCTGAGCCAGAACAATATCTCCACGGTTTTCTTCCATGATAGGGTAGATGAGCGGAAACGGAGAGAAATTTGCCATGATTAGCTGCGACGGACTTCTTGAGCTGCGACCTGACCTGTTGGCTGAACAGTCGATGACATGTCGTCTCAGTCCGTCCCAGCCTCAAGTGAACTGATCTAGTGTAAACCTTCGTCAAACCCAAAGAGACGACCGCCGTCGCTGCGCCTCTATTTCCAAGCTGGGCCAACGATCTTTGCCCAGCGGCAAAAGTTGAGGCGCGGATACCGAACGGCAAGAACGGGAACCGTACCACTAACAAGGTGATCGCCGACAGCTTATGACCGCCGCCATGCTTTTTCTACCGTGTGTGCGTGCGTGCGTGCCATTTCCATGTCCATAACCCACGTACTTCGCCATGCGGCGGCCTCATCTCCTAGGTTTTGACGTCGAAACTGTGAAAACGACACTTCTCAAGCTGGGTTTGAAGTAAACATCCAGAGATTACAACGAGATGATGCGGGATCATGTCATATGAAAATGGAATTCGGTAGCGAGTTGTTCAGCCGTCCAGCTTCCGGCCCTGATGCATATGACCTACCACTGGCTCGATATCGTCAATTTAGCTGACCGGTAGACATTTCGCTTGAAGGGTAAAAGCGGGATGAAAAACTGAACTGCTCTATTAGATGTGTGGTTGCCGTGCCGTGTTGACGGGCGGGCAGACGGGCACAGCGGGAGGCGCAAATTCAGGGTTCCGTTGAGTTTTTGAGCTGGTTGGCGAGATCGTAAACAAAAAAAATCTACACGGATGAGTATGCCTGCTGCTCTTGTATTGTTCAATCAAGGTTGGCCAAATGGGATGATGGTGACGCAATCTTCGATCAGGTTTCCGCGGTGCCGCTTCTGCTAGAGAACATATTGAGGACTGTCATTGTCTGACTGAAGCAATCACAATCACAACTTATAACTACCAACCCAAAGAATCACAACGAACACAACGAATCTCCAGTCAGCCAACTCAAAAATTGACACTCCGACGGCGGAAGCGGCACAGACTCCATTCAACTCATCTCGCCAAATCTGATCCCACCTCTAGCCGCGCCAGTCAGTCCACTGCATAGTAAAAAGGCAGAAGAGACGGACGGGTAGAAGGTAAGGTACGAAGACGGCACAGCACTTCCACTTTGGCACTGCAGCTGATCCTCTCAACCTCCACTCCACCTTCAACCCTCATTCCTTCCCGTCCTGCGCACTGCACTGCAGCATGCGATGCGATGCGATGCGATGCGAACTGCACCTTGATGGCGACTCCCTTGATGGCACAGCACAACTTAAGTTTTATAAGCGCCAAGACTCAAGAGGACAGGAAGTTGAAACGAAACGGTTGTTTGGAAGGAACGGAAGAGTGGGAGAAGATTTGGTCCACTCAGGTTGCTCCTTCCCCACGATCATGTCCATTCGAGTTTGTGGTTGCCCGGGTAGAGGACTAGAGGTAGTAGAGGCCAGCTCAGCTCACCCATCGGCGAAACATCGGCTCACCCATTGAGCGCCAAGACCGCGGCAAAATAGGCGCCCCATACTGTAAGGAAATTCTTATTGACTTGAGTGATTTTAACAATCTTCTTTAAATCTTGTTAAACTACTCCTAAATTGGTTAGCGTAAAAAATCAAAAAAAATATATATATATTTTTAGCTACTGTAAAACTTCAAAATAGAATACAATTAAAAGTATATGGCGAACTGATTAGGATTGCTTTTAAAAGAGTTTCAAAACGAGGTATAATAATAATACTATATACTTTACGTTAAAGAATTTAAATATAATATTAGCCTTAACCGTACGCTACTTAATTGATAAAATTATTATATTATGTGGATTTATATAAAGTTTATAATATTACTTTAAATAGAAGAAAAATCTTCTTAATTTTTCTTCTTATTGCAAAAAGTTTAAATAAAAGAAGATTAAAGGTAAGAAATAGTATAGAAAATGGTAAGAAAGTCAGAAAATTATTTTCATAATTTCTTATAGTATAAAAGTAGGCAAATATGTTATATATACCATTAAAATCGTAAAGATATTTTTGTTACAAAATGCACTCGGGTATGCAAGGGCACAGTATGGAGGAGTTGAAGGCAAAGCTAAGATTCCATCTATGACAGAAGATTTCAGATGGGGAGAAGAAAAAAGAAAGAGAACTAGATACAAGCGTTCAAATCCAAATAAATACCCTGGTCGCACTAGCGACAGCGGGACCCACATGTGGGTCGCTGGCTGCCAGCGCCGTCACAGGGTGCCTCTTTCAAAACAAACTATATAAGACCACTTGAGCGACCGAACTGCTAGCTTCAGTTACTTGTATTCTTTTAGAACATAGCCTAGTAGTGTAGTGGTCCGTGCCACAGGTTGGCATTGGCTATATAGTGTGCATTCCGAGTTTTGCCTTGCAAGCAGAACATTGTCCTATTGTAGGTTTGGCCGTCTGGGCATATACACTCTCGCCTATCATATAAAGATAGTTATAAATTAGTTACTAACGCTTTAAAAATAATATATCAGATTTTATATTATATAATGAATTTTAACTAGTTACAAAGGAGTTTTTGATATATTAATTACGGTTATACTTTTATGTAATATAATAAGTATCAACTAGTTATAAAGAAGCTCTTACGCATTAATTATTATTATATTTTATGATATATAGAAAATTTCATATCATATAATAAGCGTTAATTAATTATGAGAGAATTTATAATGTATTAATTAATATAATATTCTTAGAAATATTAAATATATACCAACTAGTTACTAATACTTTAGAAATAATAATATAAATTTATAAGTGTAACTTTTAAAAAAAAATTCTATGATTGTATATAATATAATACGTACTAACTATTTACAAAGGAGTTGTTAACGTCTTGGGAATACTTTCTTCTACTTATTTTGAAATTGCTTAAAATTATATACTTTATATATAAAAAGTTTACAAATTTATTTATTACTGTTCTGAGACTAATCTAATTTTAATTTGCATTAATCTAATTAAGATATTTGAGTCCAATTTTCCATAATTGACTATTATTGAACGGCCATAATGTAAGTTCGGGTTTTAGTATACTTTTTTTGCTTCCAAGGCTTATTTTGCCGCAGTCTTAGCGCTTAATGGGTGAGCTGAACTGCCAACTTCTAGGGGTAGAGAAGAAGCACACCATTAAACCCCACTTAACTCTTTTGTAAGGTTGTGTAAGACGGAGAGTGGGTGCGCTCTGATCCTCTTATGCTTCGTTTTGGCCGGTGAGGACTGGATTAGGTGGGTGGTTGCAGTATATCTTACTCCAAATAATACTTTCCTTGCTTATTCTACTCTGTTAATGGTGCCTTTGAAAATCTGGAATACGTACGTGTACTAGTTACTGCGTAGAAGCTTTGCGTTGAACGATGTTTGGGGGAACATCAAGCTGTTTGAGAGGGGGGTGATATCGTCGTTCTTCTTTACTGTAGTGTATCAGTCTTTGGTCACCAAAGAGCTTCAACTCACATGTCGCTTCGGCGCCGTTGTCGTAGGTGTCAGTTGTCGTAGTGTACACTAATGGCATGGCAATGGTCGGTCGGGGAATAGGTATAGCCTAAACCCCGAACCACGCAACAAAAACCCTTCACCGAATGGAGCAATATAGGATGGAAGTGTTAAGTTACGTTCGGGAACTTTTTCAAATATTGTTTGATGGAACTTCTGTCCGGCTTGGTTCTCTTCATCAAACCTTTTCAGGGAGCAGATTACGACGGAAACGAGTTAACCCCCACCTAAGGAAACGCAACGCAACACATCCTGCCATCAGAGTACACACACAAATATCCCACTGACACCATGCTCAAAATGAACTACACCATCCATGTAAGCACAATGTAGCATTTATTGCGCACGCTTCTCTCTTCTCTCTCCCCCCCTCTCTCTCTCTTCTTCTTGTTGCAAAAAAAGAGAAAAAAAGATAATGCAATGCAGTTACAGTTGCAATTGAACGAGTGGAGGAGAAATGTACCAAAAGCAGAAGGTCTCATCCGGGGCAAAAGACACAGACAGAAAAACGCTCGTTTGTTTGTGTTGTGTTGCAAGTAAATAGTGGTAGTTTTCGTGACCTTTGCTTTTTATCAGTCAGTTCGAAGATGATCCTTGAGGTGCTGCAGAGACGAAAAAGTTGGCGGACCAAAGCTTTCCCAAAGCCGAAGTGCTTGAAATGCTGGGAATGGAAGGGTAAGGTATTATCGCTCATTGACACACCTCGCGCGTTCGGCTGCCTAGGGAGTTAGGTTGTAAAGTGGGAGTGGTATTTGCTGAGCACACACAGTAAACTGTGATGAATGGATGGATTGATGGGTGATGAGATTCGCGTCGTCACGATACCTTTAATGACACTTACCCAGTCTGACCAAGCGAGCGACTTCCTTCCGAGGTTGTTTTTCATGATCATGATAAGAGGCAAACAAAACACAGGGCAAAAAGCGATGAACAGCAAGTGTAGTGCAGGTAGTTCTTTAACTTGATTTGATTTCTTTCCATCTTTCCTCCTTTCAACAGGGGTATAATCCTTTCCTTTCCTTTCCTTTCCTTTCCAACCATAACAAGCCCAGCTCACGTTAAGTCCTTTTCCCCCTCCTCCGAGAGTGGTATCCTTGCCTTTCCTTTCCGTTCCGGTCAGCCATATGGGTAAAATGCTACCGTCCACCCGCCTACCCGCCTGCCTGCCATAAAAAAAACTCCATGTGATGACTGATATGCAAAAATCCAAATGCCTCCCTAAAAATGTGTTTCCCCTCCCAAAGAGTTGGACAAAAAAGAAGAAAGAAAGAAAGAAAAAGTTGTCAAAATGGGTTGGAAAGGCCGTACAATGCCATTTGCTCAATTGCTAACCCCAGTCAACAAGAAGATTGCAAGAGAAGCGGAATGAAGCATTGCCCTTGTACCAACCCGCCTTCCTCCACATCCATCCATCCATCCTATCCATTTGATCCTATCCAGTAGTGTGTCGTCGTAAAAGTCCTTTTTTCTTCTCCCTCTCCAGGTCTCAATTGCCTCGCGGCAACGTCTAGAAAAAAACTCTTAGAGTTCTTGTGTGTATAAAAAAAGGTGGTATAAGAAAGAAAGAAATTGTGTTCCAGTAAACCAGCCTGGAAGAAAACGGTGTCGTTGTCTAGATGAGCAAGTAGTCCCATCCCTCGGTCTGCATGACATCCCGCCACCTGACGTAAGGCTCTTGTGGCTGAGGAGATGAATTTCCCGCTGCCGCCTTAGACGCCTCGTACGCCGCCACGGCGGCCGCATATTGCACCCAGGTCTCGCGAAGGAGGACGGTCGTGCGTCCAAAGCTGCCCGAGCTGGCCGCGTCGCCGAGCTGGGCGATGCGGGTCTCGAAAAAGTCGCGGAAGGAGGAGCCGTCCACGCTGACGGATCCACCGATCAGGTAGACCCAGGTGAGTGAGCGGTCATACCCGTTGACCCCCGAGGGGATCAGCTGGAGGACCGCGGTGAGCTTCTCGACGAGACCCATGCAGCTGGGCTGGGCAGGGTGGAAGCCCGGGACCAGGCTGCAGAGGTAGATGCGAGCAGCAAGACGGAAGGCGGCGGTGATGTTCTTGCTCAGTTGTTTAGGGCTCAGGGTGCCGTTGGCGTTGTAAGGCTCGACGAGCGTGCCCTCGTTGATCTCGGTATTGCTGATCTCGTCGCCAAGGCCACGGACGTGCTGGCAAAGGGTAATGTCGTCCATGCCCTGGTTCTTGAGCGACTCGAGGCAGGCAATCTCCGAGATGAGATACATGACGCGGTCTTCGCAGCCCATCAACTCACGCAGGCCGAGCGAGTGGTTGTTGACCGAAAGATGCTTGTGGCGGTAGGTGTGCGCGAACATGGGGGAACTACCCAGCATGGTGGCGCCCAAGATGTCAATCCAAGACGTGAGTGTCATGTTGAAAGGGGTGTGGGCGAGAGGCTTGGCGAGATCCGATACAAGTCCAGCAAGATCGAGCTTCTGCACAAGCGATACCACCGCTTGGAAATGTTGGTGCCAGGGAATATCAGGAAGAGTATCCTCAGGACGGCCAACGATGCACTGAAAGAAAATCAAGCCAAGGGTGGCATCGAGAATTGGCTGGTGGTTCTCATCGCGATTGAGTGCCTCGCACAGCCAGGTGATGGTGGCATAGCGGTGGCGCATGATGTCGTTGTCGATCTCCTCGCTCTGAATGCCCGTTGTAGACTTGAAGTGTTGCGCCGCAATGCTCAAGCAGCAGTGCAGGTAACCCTTGTTGTTGGCCAGTGATGGGAGAATGAGCTCAGAGCTGATTGAGCCATGCTGGTTGGATTCCAGAATGGGGAAGATGGTCGGAAGAACGTGTTGCACAAAGTGATCGAAGAGCTTCTGGTCACCCTCATCCAACTCAACTGCCACTTGCGAAGAAGCCAAGGCCGGATCGCAAGCAAAGTCGAAGAAGTTGGCATTAAAAGTCTCCTCCGTCAACGACTCTCTCCGCTCCGAGAACACCTGCTCGGTCCATTCACCTTCCAGAGGGAATGACGGGAGAATTGTACCCGGAGGAGGCGGGGTCTGATATGTGCTGAAGGTTGATACTGTTGATTCACGAAGGGTCGGGACATCGTTGATGAATATTTGCCGCTCGGTCTTCATGTCGATCTCGTAGGGAGAGAAGGGTGGGAAGATGAACTCTCCATTGATGTTTATTTGTGGCGTCGCAAATGGTGTGAAATCTTGGCCATTGTGAGGGCTGTTGAAGTTGAAGCCAAAATGCGAATCGATCGAAGCGGACCTGTTGCGATCAAGCGGACCCGAAAAGGTCGCTGACGTCGGGAGCGAGTGCGAGAGGCCGGGCGGTGTGTTGATTGAGGTCTGGATGGTATGCGACGACTTCTCCGAAAGCTTCTTCCTCTTGATGATCATCTTGATCTCATCCTTGTGCTTCCTCCGCAAATCGTTGTTGCTCCACCACATTGGCCTCTTGTATTCGCATTGAAGCCCGAGATGCTTGCAAGCTGTGCACATGGGAGAACCCTCGTCGCACTTCTTCCTCCTCAGCCTGCATGTGTAACATCCTTCACGTCGTAAAGTCAGCGTTCCCGGTCCAACGTTGTCGAAGAGAAGTGTGTAAGTGATAAGATAGCGGTAGTAAAAGAGGCAAACAAACCTGTCCTTGAGCGGCGATGCATCTGTGTCTTTTGCTTGGGCGCGGCATTGGTGCCGGCCTTTGCGGTCGCCTTGGTCTTGGTTGTTGTTGTGGTCGTCATGTTGACTGAGGATGTGTTCGTGATGTCTCCGTGGTGGTTGGGGGCCGTGTTGACATTTGTACCCTTCTTGTATGGGAAGTACCTCTTTTAGGTGAGTTATGGAGCACAGCACCGGGGACCCAGGGGGGTGGTGGGGGGTGCTAGCGGAGAGGGGGTGGTCGGGACCAGGGGTGGTGAACTTCAGCTAGGCCGAGGAAATGGGCTGGGCCTCTCTATCCTGTCGTCGGTCCAGAAGGTCCCAGGGGCAAATCGCTAGGGGGCTTATACCCAAAAACACTCTCTTGTATCAGATTATTAGATTATTTGTATCGTCGAATGAATGACTGGGTCGTGAGCAAGTCCGGCTTGCTGAGTGAACTGGGGTCGGAAGTTGGATCGATGATGAACTCGTCGAGTCGAAAGACGTTTTGACTGGGTAGCGTGAGGTTGAGTGTAATTAAAAGAGAGGAAAAAGGTTTGTTGACTGGACTGGACTGGACGACACCTAGATCTCACTATCCTTCTCTTCAATTTTGGCCTGCAGATGAGAAGACCAAACGGAAACTTGGAGAGAGAAGTGGGCAAATTCTTATATCAGGCCCGGTCGATGGGCCAGCGTGTGGTGGAATCGGTGATTGCTCACCTGTTCTATTTTTGAAAAGCGGGCTAATTAACTGCTTTTCCCGATTTGACCCCCTAGCTGCGTTAGTTGGTGCCCTACTGTACTGCCGTGGTATCGATGGTGGACGGTGGTACCTACAACGGGAGAACGCTGGTCCATGGTACACAGGCACACGCACACAACCTCACAGGCACACAGGGCTGCTGCTGGCCTGCTGCTGTCCTCACGAGGTTCCGGTTCTTCTTGCTCTTTGGACAGGGGAGGCCAAGGCATCCCGCTCATTGGTGATGGCGGTCGCCCGGAAGGTCTCACTCGGATGTGGGAGGGGACCAGGACGACCCAACAGGACCCCACCGCTGATGGTATCCAGGCCAGGGGGGATGGAAGGGCAAGGGGCACGGATGAGGGCAAGTGTCGTGCAACTAGCGGCGTGCAAGGGTAGCAAGAGGCAGGGCATGGGGAGGGATTGACAAGGTATCTCGTCCAGGGTACGGAGGCCATTCACGGAAAAAGGTGGCTGCACTCTGCAGGGGAAAGCGAAGAAGCTGTTGAGTAACCAAAAGGGCAGCTTATGCGTGCTCAAGGGCCGACTTGGCCGGAACCTCATTGGCACGGGGGTCAGCACGAGTGCAGAAAGAAGGAAGCTCACTGTACCGGCGAGAATACATGGGTAGAATCCGGGCAAAATGATGGGGAGCCAACATGGAGACAGACATGCTTGACTCTCTTTGGCAACTCCCGCGGGCTGATATCAAACTAGGCAAGCCAAAGGGTCCGCTGATCGCCAGACCTGTGACATGAATAACTTTTTTTTTGTTGTGAGCCCATAGCCGTGTTGTGTCGACGAGATTTGCCATGTATCCGTTGTGAGAGCAGGCTTTCATGTGAAGAGCCAACAGATTCGCCGCTTGGCCTTGAGATAGGGGCAGCTGAGAGGCTGACGGACAAAAAGACAATGAACTTGTCAAGACCAACAGGGTTTGATTATCAGAGATGTGATGGACAGTTGGAAGCGAAGAATGACATGCTCGCAACCGAGAAAGCGAGCACGAGAATTCGTCGACGCCAGGTGGTATTATGGCTGACTGACTGGAACAATGCAATAGTTGTCCCCTAATGCGCAACTGTGTCTTGCCTCTTCGACACACCCATCTCTGCCGTCTTCTTGCAACCCTACCTTTCTCCTCGGGGACGTCGAATGGCTGCGTTGAGAAACAGAAGAACCTCTTGAGCTCCTCCTCCCAGGAAGATGGCTTTTTTGCGTTCGTTTCTGGGTGGTAGTACGACCGGATGGCGGGACGATGGCGGACACCCAGGTCGCATGCTGGCCCGTATCCGGATCACATAACAGAGATGCGGTCCCGGTGATGATGATGAGAATGATCATGTCTTGAAGACATGGTCCGTGGGAAGAGCAAATAACAGTCGCATCGCAATAATTCCCCGGCTCCCAGTCCCATCCTATCCTCACAACCTCGGTGGAGGAGCGTCGGCTTTCGGGTTGTGGGAGGTCTTGGGTCTTGGGCCTCGAGGATCCATCTCTGGGGCTAGGACTGCTTGGGTGTTAGGGCATGGTGAGGCCCGTATCACCACCTATCGTCCACCTATCGTGCCGTCGTCGCCGGCCTGCCGAGAGATCACTTGGACACTGTTTGACATTAGGGGCGAGATCGGGCTTTCAGGAATCAGGAGGAGCCTCCGAATGGGCATTTTCTGGCGAGCCTGTCGTTGGTGTGTTGAAATGTCAAATCTGAAGAAGCCCGCAAATCATCAGGGTCTGTCAAAGAATAGCCTTCAGATTGGCCGCCTCGCTCTCCATTCAGTTCAAGAACTTGGCGTGGTGTGGCCGGCCGGGTCCAGACATAATGTTGAACCTCGCTGCAAGGCAAACATCCACTGCACCCCAAGAGAGCAGGAGCATTGACCACCTTGAGAAAGCACCCTGAATGTACCTGCTTGCTGTCGGGTGTTACCGCGACACTTGGCTGCTTTGCTGTTGAGAGCGGCCGCCACAGGTAGACGGGTAGCGAGGCAGCGACCGAGAGACCTGGCCGGTCAGAGACAGGAGGTGCTCTCGGTGGTGGTTGCCAGTCCGAAGAGTCTGTTGAATGATACAAGTGAGAAAAATCTGCAAGAGAGCCGATAACGATTGTGATTCGTCCATGATTTGGACCATCAGTGTGACGACTTTTGGCTAGTGCAGAATGGCTGCGGCCCGCGAGGCGGCATCCAGCTGAGATTGGCCCGCTCAACGAGATCGACTGGGTATTGAGCATAGATTTGGCAGGCATTAATCGAAGCTTCCTCCAATCATCTCTGTGATACGCAAGGGCAAGCTCGAGTGGGGTGCAGTGATGGGGTCGGTAGGGGTGGTGGAGTAGTGGGGATAGTGGACTGTTCTTGCCGTCGCGGGGTCTGCATTTTGTTCTCCGAAGTACGTACCTGAGCCCTTGCATTTTGCCATCCCAGACCTTGTCGTCGACTCGACTCTATCGGCCTCACTCAAAAGGATTTGCTAGACTTTTGCTCGCTTCTTTTCCTTGGCATCAAAAACCTCCTTGCTTTTTTACTGTGGCATGACCTTGTTGTCTCCATCTCTCGAACCAGCCCTGCTTGCTTGTCGAACGAGTCAATCGCAATGAGGACGGAGGACGACGACGCCGACACTGACGACGATGACTGCGAGAAGCCCGACCTATCTTTGTTGAGTCTGCCCAACGCCGATAGCGTGCACTTTGGTGTCAAGCCCAGGAGTTCGGTCAGAACACCGTCGGACACGTGATTCTATTCACCTTGAACATGACCTTGATTCCAGGAATGCCTCAGTAGCTCTCGACGGCTGGTCATGGCATCATGAACGGCTCACGGCGTGGCTCGCGACCATCAGTCGGTGGGTTAATTAACCGCTCAGCTTCCCCTTTTGGACAGATTAACCCGTTTATTGCTGACAGGACGAGCAGGATCTTCCGCCGCAGTCCCACAGCAGTCCCACACGTGTGATGGAATTTTCCCTCATTGCAGTTGTGGGCTAATTTTGGGCATAATCTGCAAGACATCCCCAAGTGGTACTTCCGACTCCGTCATCGTCCCCGCCCTTCTTAGCTGCTGCATGCAAGTATTTAGTCCTTTTGCTATTTTTACCCTTGTCTACACTCCATAGCACCTGTTTCTTTTCTCCGCACCACAAGTTCTCCCATTTGGGAATTTCGCCGATCAAGACAATTAGCCCGCTCATCTGCACTTAACACGTTCATCAAGCTGGGCCTCACATTCGCTTCCGCCATCACATCGGGGCTGACATGTCCGAGGTCACCGAGCGATCACGACTGTCGACCTTACATGGGATTTGTGCTGACATCCCCCACAAGAGATTTGCACGCACCAAGACTTTTAGGTGCGATCTGTGCGGCGCATTTCGAGCTTCCATCCTTGAAGCATTATCGACGATCATAAACGATTCAGTTGCAAGGACATCTCACTTCGACGTTGTTGAATGTTTGTTTACTCCTCGCATATCACAGCAAGGGGCATTGTCTCGGTAACTACGGCACCACGGCATTCATTCTGAGATATGACGTTCGTCTGAAGCTGAGCGACGTTCCGGGCTTGAGAGAGGCGCACGGAGAACATGTCCTAAACGGCAAGGTCACGGTGTGATAGCACATCTTCATTTCGCTCACCTTCGTCCTTGCGGGGTTAGTGCCAGATTCTGGCCGCGCTCATCAGCGGAAAGGACCGTTCGTTAGTACGGTGTAGCTCGCGGAGGCGGACAAGGGGCTATCTTGTGGTGTTTTTCAGATTCACCGCGAGAGCCGTACCCAGTCCAGTCGGTACACATGTGGCGTACAAAGTACGCGAAGGAGCCCAAATCTCCGGCATCACACTTTGCCACGAATCGATAATGGCCTCGCCAAATGTCAGAACGACTAATCATCACGGTGAGCATTGCAATCATGGGGACAATGATCAGACTCACCGTGAATGAGCAGTGGTTACGCCAAGAGCCAGTCACCGATCGATCTTCAATTGCGTCGTTATACGGCTCCGATGTCTCCGCCAGCAGTCTCACACTACAGTTAAGCTTACGGGAATTCCCTTTCACAACGGGAATAAAAACTCTTGAAAAGAGCCAATCAGAGGAGAATGTAACGATCTGAAAGTTGTGATCAAAACACGTGAGGGGACTTTTCCTGAAACGGACTCACAAACCACGGGAAGTGAACCTCATCCCGCAAACCCTCACTGTGACCCCTGTCAGCGTGAAGATCCTCATGAAAAAAATGCTGGCAGCGATGACCGTACACAAGTTCATCGAAAGCGAGTCCGATATCCGTTGATGGCATGGATCCCTCTCCGCTTGCAAGCGAGATATCGAAGCTGCAAAAAGCAATTATTCCAACGGCCTCGAAAAGCTCGGTGATACGGGGTCATAAAATCAAAGACATCGCAGGACAACTGGCCTACGCTAAGACCTAACGGTTTCTTCGAAGGGTGGTCAACACGAGGTTGGAACAACAAGATGGGTTGGACAAGCTGTACTGTATGTTGTTTTAATCTCTTTCCCTTTTGGGATGCAAGATCAGTTATTGACCAACCACCTCTCTAGGAATCTTTCATAGCCAACTTTTCACTTCGTCTCTTCTACCCCTCTTTTCTTCCACACCTTTTGCCCCTCCCCGGCCATCATATCATCAACTATCTGGGGCCCTGGTCAACCTATCAACCTACCAAGCCAGGCAAGCCGAAGAGGAGCTCAGCATTCAGTCTCGTCAGTGAATGGACCATTTTGAACCCAGCCCAGTGTCCGCAAACCGAGGAGCGAGATGATTCAATGCAACGCGAAAATCTGTCACTCCAATTTCGAAATGTGACTGTGACATGAAAGATCGATGATTGCGGAGACACGGTATCATCAACCACATATTTGCAAGGGCTCTCTTCAGCAACAGAGCCTGGATGTGAGCAATACGGGTTTCTCAAATGTGATTGCAACCAAGGCAACACTTTTGTTGCGGATGCCCGATTTCCAATGGCGTAATTTGCATACAAAGGAGTGTATCTGAAAGCTGAAGTCGAACAACATATGCGATCCACACAATATCACATTAAATCAGCAAGCCAATACTACCTCAGACACGCGAACTAACCTCAATCTGCAGGGTAAAAAGAATCCTACGAGGATTGCCGGAGAGAGGGAACAACCCTCGCTTCTTTTTGCTAAAATCTACCGCACAACAGGCCACGGACTCATCAGTCTCCGAACAAGGATTCGTATCTCTTTTTTTCTTCGCGATGCCACTTCCCGCGGTGTTACACAATCACAAAGGAAGTCGGCCACTTACAGTCCCAGCTCCCAGAATCCGGACCAAAAGCTCTCCAGGTTTTCTGGTGGCTTCCGACAAATCTGCGAACAGGGTGGCCGCTTTTGCGGTTGCAGAAGGGAAGTCCTCTTTTTGAGAAGTCAAATTCTTTGTGGGTGCTGCGTTACAACTGCGAAAAAGAAGGTTGCAGTTGCGTTCATGGAGGAGCCCAGTTGCAACCACTATCCACCACGCTTTTCCACAACGGACTGGATAACTGTGCCTTACAGACGCCGAAAACTCAAAATCGCCCCTCTTTCTTCTGCTTCTCGGTCTCCTCCATTCTCTGCGGCCTTTTCACTTGAAGACGGCCGCATAGCGTGAATGTCATGTGAAATCGAAGACTCACACCAATGCTTCCTCGGAAAGTGATTGGTGGGGTAGAAGGGAAACTGATATCTGAGGTTCTTCGGGTGGGTGGGATCGGTTGGACATTCACACAGGCTCACAGGCTTCCAGAGCCGAAAAGACCACGAGAATACAAGATGAGTTTTTAACGCAGACACAAGTGTGCACATACACCGAGGAGAAACATTGCACCCGCGCCGCGGAGCCGGAAGCTATTTTGCTTGTTACTAACGATTATCTTACCAGACAAAAGAAAGATGCCACATGAGCGACACGAGCAACTTTGAACGGGAAGCACACCCGGGGTTGCACCAGCACAGGAGTAGGAGCATCAGTTAAAAAATAGGTAACCTTGATGGTACGGTGATGGAGCTCCACACATCTATCGAGGAGATGTGAATTACTTACCGGACTCAAACAACTTAAGGCATCTCTTCTAAGCCATCAAAAACTCTGGAATCAACTAAATCGCGATATCAATCCCATCGCTTAAAGCATCTTGTTTACCAGTAGCAGTTGAAGCAAGGTAGGGAGTATCTTACACCAACACCAAATCTGAGATCTAACAGATCCCTTTGTGCCGTGTATCTCTACAATACCTTATGCTTGTGTGATGACTTGCACACAACCAAACCAACCCGCGTCGACAACTGGAACCCCCAAGAAATTTCAATAACCATCATCAACCATTCCCAACCACCACCACACATGAAGCACATAAGCAGTGAGATGGGTCTCCCGCCGCCCCTCCATGTTCGGTTGAACAATGTGAACAATAATGTGAGTGATACTGCATTGGATGGGGGTCGTCTTTCGTCAACCAACTTTCCAGATCTCGACAAAGAGAACCTATCAGAACAACCACTTGATTTCTTGCGCACGAAAAATCGCCCCCTTTTCCACACACACACACACGTACACACCAGCTCACTTGCTGCAGTGCACGGTGCAATGTAAATTAATCCCAATCTCGACGCAGGAACATTAACAAATATCTGATGTACTATCTCTTCAAAACCATCACTGGTTTAATCTCAATGCGATGTGAAGATGCTGTGCGAAGACACTCAGGCAGGCACGCAGGCAGACAGGCAGTCTGAGATTGTTGAGATATGAATTATGATCCCCCGTAACGTAGGTGCTTGTTAGCAGACCTACATCAACCACTGTCACGACATCCAATCTCGATGCAGTATCACCATATCCCATTTCACACAAACTCAGAACCCTCAATATGCGGATGCATATCGACTTGAGCTTTGCACCTTCACATTTCACATAAATGAAAGTCAATTCCTATATCTTCACCATTGCAGACTGGGCGGGCGAGTGTGCAAGACAGAGCTTGTAGATATGTCCATATGAGTCGGGTCATTCCGGGCGGCATATCCTACCCATATACTATTAAACCTGAAAAGAACAATATAAGATATAACAATAATCTAACCATAACGGTCATAACTAGGGTAACGGTATAAAAATATATAAGAATGACAATCGACTTACACTTTACAATTTAAATTAAATCTATAATTAATAATCCACACAAATTGTTATTTTTACCCTCTCTATAACCTTGTCAGCAGCTGCCTAATATCCACCTTAGCACCCCTAACAAGCCTCGCCAGCTCATAATACCTCTTAACAAGAGTGTCATCTCCTTAACGGCTAGCACGTTTCATCTTCTAGAAACCAATACTCTCTAGCGCAATTTACAAAACTTATTCCTCTTTACTGCCTATAACAAGTCTATCAATCCACTACATTTCTACCTTATTAGCTAATATTATTACTTCTTAAAATCATATTAAAACTATTAAAAAATTAGTTACAAAATATAACCTAGAGTATATGCATAATACTAACGAAACTACTCTCTTTTAATTAATAATTCCCGACCTTACACTAATTACTAAATCGCATGTAGAATTAAAAAAGAAAAAGGATAAAACTACAATACTCCTTTATATTAGTACAATTAGTACCTATAAACTCAATCTTAAAATTGTGGACAATACTAAAAA